TCTGTCACCGCTGTCTCCTCTCAAAGATCTGATCAAATTATTGGAAATAAATGAAAGTCCGAAAAACGACTGCTATTCCGTCGTGCGAGGCGAACGCGTTATGCCACTAGTGACTTACTAGTCTGAATGAAGGGCCCATTGAGTCGACGCCGTGATCAAATTCGCTCAATTCCTTCAGCTCGAACTTGCAGCGCAGTAGTTTGCACAAAGATGTATAGGAAGAAAAATTACGTACTGGCCGATCCCGATGCATGTCACTCTCTCTGGGGAGAGCGAGTGGCTAGGGAGGATGAGTATCACATGCACGGATCTGGAGTCAGTGCTCGAGCTGAGAAAGGCGGGGTTGCCTCGGAGGCTCGGAGAACGACTGTATTGAATGGTGCCGGAGCATGACCATCAATCGAAGGTGTTTCCGCTGATGGCGATTGCACGGCTGTAGCGACAATAGATTGCTCTCGGGTTCTCCTACTTTGTACCCCATTCTCAACACCAGAGCATAGAGGCCACACGAAGAAATCGACTGAGCTGACAGAATTCATGAAGTGTCCCAGATGCGAGACATCGCGTATTGCACTGATCCGATATGTCACTGCACAACACGCTCATGCATCTGTTCAATAACCAAGAAAAAAAACTCAGAAGTCGAAACCGCATCCCGTCATCAAGCCTCCTGCACGTAATTTCCTAAACGACAACGGCTCGTCAGGACTGCCAATTCGTCTGTCAAATCTGGCCATCACGCACCTGGGAACACACCCTCCCTATCACCGATCCTTCCAGTCCACCAATCCTCCACACTGTCCGTACGCTCAACCACCTCTATCCTATCTCCAGCGCCAAACTCCAGGTCGCCCTCCGCCTGCGGCGTAAAGTCATACAACGCAACCACATACGACGCTCCAGGCTTCGGCTTTGGCTTGAGTGGCGGCGGCGGAGGCGCCTTCTTGATCGTCCCGATGGCGGAGGACGATGAAGATGGAGAATATGGCGGTGGCGGCGCTTGGACTGCGCTGGGCGGCGGAGGGGGCGCTTTCTTGCCATAGAGAGAAGATGTGGCCGATGAGCCCGTGCCCGTCCTACCGAGAGACGCACTTGGGTTTAAACCTTGCGAGGTACGATGCTCCTGCATCATCTTGGCTGTAATAGCGTGACGGTGAGTGAGGGAAAATCACGACAATTTGTATGAGTCTGAACGTACATGTAGAAACGATACGCTGGGTGAGCCCCAATCCCTCCACCCTTTCCCATGCGTCGCTGCGCTTTGACTCGTATTCCTCCGCAATCGAGGCTGCGCTAACGGAAACGTCATACTTGCCATCAGCGAAGCCGCTTAGCTTCTCCAGCATGAGGTAGTAGATGTTGAGTCTGGCCAATAACACCGAGCGTTAGAATAATGCGACCAAGTAGTAGCGGTATGGAGGCAGTGCAGATACCGCCGTTGGATGCGGAGAACCGGGAGTGAAGACGCGAAATGACGCACTGCATGTAGAAGAACGAGTGGAAGAGCGGGTCAATGAACTGTGTACATTGCACCAGGAAGCGTGGTAGTTCGGTCTTCAGTGTGGTATTGATGTATTCATACTCGTTTGACGCAACCTCAAAGTCTTGCTCAAGCTGGTATTGCGTATGACGTCATCACGAGGAGTGGAGATGGTTGCGAGTTTATCCATTTTGAGTACGTACGGAACACATCGGCATGAACGAACTGAACAAACCTTGAACAGATGTTTCTCGTCATTAAGGGACTTTTCTTTCTTGTCTCGCAATTTAGTGAGAGAGTTGTTATAGCGGTCATAGTCTACGAGCTGGTTGATACGTCAGCGAATGATAAGGACGCAGCCAAAGATAACGGCGGAAGCGCCAGAATTCCGTGACGGAGGACGTGAATGCCGTATACGAAGCCCACGGACAATTGTCGCCCTGACTGCAATTACAGAATGCGAACATTGACACATACCTTGTGCTCTCGCTTCGTGATCGTCTTCCTAATCACCTTCAGAACGCTCTGCAGCTCCTTCACGGGAGCCAAGATCCTGCTCTCGATCAACTCCAACTCGGGTACAACAGATGCCTTCAGCTCTTGCAGCGCAGCCTCGTAGGCATCAACGTTCTGGATCGTATGCTCGGCCTCCGGATGCTTGCCACTCAGATCGTATTCTCCATTCAATGGGCGGAAGAGAATCGCAAAGTGTTCAGCGAATCCAGCACCGTACGTGAACAGGTTGTTGACAGCTTCGTTATAAGCTTTGGTATCTTTGATGAGCTTGTCGGTAGCGGTCTCCACTGAGGCAAAGCGGCGGAAGAAGTCGTCGAATTCCGGATCGGAAGACTCTATATGGCCAAAGAATGCGACAATAGGAGACGTCGGTGCCATTCCGGGTTGCAGATACGGGGATCAAACGACGTCAACTCTCACTCAAACAAATCAGTATGCAGATCGACGTACTCTTGGACATGCCAACCTTGGTGGTCAGCAGGTGCGGTGTGCTAAAGGTGCGAGACGTCAGTTCATCTGAACATCTGGAGCATACAACGTGCCACATTCAGACTCACCGAGCGAACGCCTTCGAGATTCCCTTCATGTTGACGAGCCACGATACCAGATATAAATAACAGATGTGGCACGGAGAGGACGAATGTGGAGGAGGTTATCGAAGGCGACGGCGAGAGTGCAGAGGATGACGAGAAAAGGGGAGGATGCAGCAGCGGTTCACTGCCTCTGGCCGATTGCGCAGTAGACGCCCAGACTATAGCAGTTTGTTATGTCAGCATACTTTATCCGTAAACTCGGCAACTGCAAGAGTCATTGATTTCGCGTCATGGAACGGCTCCGAGCCTAAGCTCAGGCACTCATCCTGTTGAATATTTCTCCCACTTTATCTTGGTTATCACCGTCATTGCCCTCGACGTCAAGCTCGACTGCAACGCTACGCGACGTCTACAATGCCGATCAATCAACCGTCGAATCAGATCAAGTGTGATACCTGTTCGCCCGAGACTGTCGTTCGTCCGAAACTCTGACCAGAGCCTATTCTCAAACAGGTTGACCAATGTCTCTGTTGTGAGGTTGAGGAAAGCCGGAAAGCGGTTTGAGGTGATCTTGTAAAGCACAATGCACGACCGACCTAAGTCGCGCTCACCTTCGTTCATAGGTCGCTTGCTACAAGAATAAAGTGCAGGAGTGGCGCAATAGGATTGAGACAAACTTGGATGATGTGCTACAGATTGCAAACGTTTACACGAATGTCTCAAAAGGCGAGCTTGCCAAGAGCCAGGAGCTCCAGAAGGCATTCGGCACTACGGACATCAATACAATCGTCGAAGAGGTTCGTTGTAATGTCCTCAACCTCTGAATCATCGCTATAAACGACGTCATCAGATCCTGAAGAAAGGCGAGCTACAAGTAGGCGAAAAGGAACGAGAGCATGATCTTTCATCGGTCCGACGCGAGATCGCCACCCTTGTCGCAGAGAAGTGTGTTGATCCGGCAACCCAGCGACGGTATCCCGTTGGTGTCATCGAGAAGGCAATGGTTGAGGCAGGCTTCAGTGCACGTCCTGGAAAGAATGCAAAGAGCCAGGTGCGCATGCCATTCGCTATGCAACAAAAGAATACACGACGTGCTCATCCTTCGTTTACGCCAGGTGTCCGAATGCATCAAACTGCTGCAGACAGAATCGAAGCTGCCGATACAGCGAGCGCGCATGCGCATATCCATCTCAATGCCCGTCGCTGATTCGGAACGTCTACACGATCGCATCGTTGAAACTGCAGACACGGTGGAGAAGGACGAAAAGGGTATTGAACGATGGGAGACGGTGAGTAGCAAGTCCATGCTGCATCGTTGCATGAGTCCGTGAATTGTTCACGATATTTGGCGATATAGATCCTGCTGATTGACCCAGGGCAGCTCCGCGTACTCAACGAGACGTTGCAGAAGGAATGTCCAGGCCGGGGGCAGCTAGAAACCTTGTCCTTCGCAGCGACAGCCAGCGGCGATGGGGTCACCGTTTGAGTGCGTAGCGGGTGACATGCAGCCTTTGAACACTTATACAAGCTTTGGTAACATCGTCAGGTTTTATCAGACGCCCTGCCAATCTCGGTACAGGCGTATGTGTCAGTTCGACTCGTGTTGTTGTATAGAGCGCTCGATGGGGTCATTCCAGAGCACATACATTATTCATCATGCCATGACATCATTACGAAACAAATCAGAGGCAAGCAAGCGAGAGGACAACCACTCAATCACTGTATCCCCATACATCGTCGATATCCTCCACGTTCAGCTCAGGCTTCGGTTTCTTCGCAGGAGGCGCTTTAGCCTTGACAATGCCCTTGATAGCAATCTTGAGGTCGCTTTGCCACTCCTGCGTGACCGAGGGAGTTAAAGAATGGATGAGTTCCTCGACCTTCAAAGCAAGAGTCTTCAGTTCTTCGAGGTCCCGTCGCACGTGCAACTGCGATTTGGGCTCAAGCGCTGCCTGCAGTCGCGACGTTTCCTTGATCGATTGCCTGCAAGCATCGAAGTGAGCATGCTGCGCCGTTCAGTCTGAGCACTAGTAGACGCACGATGTTTTGGTTAAGAGGGTGTTGACGTCCTCAAGGTCCTGGTGCTGGGCGGTAGTGAATCGCTTCTTAGCGCTCTTCTTAGAGACATGGAGATGTTCGTGAGCGCATTCCAAGCAGACGATGAGATGAGGAATTGGTCCTAGGAACAGCATCCGGTAGCATGCATGTGGCCACTCTAAACTTGCTGAGGCTTCCTGGAACGCAGTAGTGACACGGTGCCGGATGGCTTGCATGCGACCAGGAGCCTTGTCAGCGCGACGACGTCGCTGCACGTAGCGCCTGAAAGCGGACATGATTTTTTCCGCCGCGGCGAGTTCTTTTTCAGTTGGCAATTCTGGCGCTTTTCTTGGCTGGTCGACCTCGGTAATGACCGTCGGGTCCTCAGTGTCGACATTCTGTAGCTGAGGATCAACCTCGACACCATCAGCCCCCTCATCAACTGCCTGCGACTCCGAGAATTCATCTTCTGAGGCATCAAGCAGGTGAGAGGGGGTGAACGGTAACGCATCAGCTCGCAAATTGCTCTTTGGTGTCTGTGATGCTCCAGAGGCCAACATCTCGCGGATGTCGTCGATTGTGCGATACTCAATTCGTCGTACATTCGGGAGGGGAGGGAGGGTGATAGATGCTCTAGTTGCGTCGAACAGCTGAACCATCTCGTCCAACTCAGACCCAGAGGTTGATTGTCGGCGAACGAAGCTCGCAAGCTGACCCCAATGCCTGGCGGTTACGTACCTGATAGTGTCCGCACGATTAATGAGAAAAACACAATGGGTGGCTGAGATCACATACTGTTCGTATATGGGCTCGAACTTTCGACTGAACCTTGAGAGACAAGTCACGGTGTGCTGAATATCTGCTCTCAGAGACAATGATGGTATGTTGTATCCGACTGAGGAGATAGAGGGCAATGAGACTCAGGTGCAAACCATAGGATAGATGGATAAAATGCATACGAAGGCATAGGTTTTTGCAACTGAGTCGACATAATTAATCATTCTGAAAGACCTCGTCAATATTTGACAGCTCACATTCTAGCAATAAACACGCTCCTCATTTGACTTGGCAGGCTCGACAAGTTGCGACCTTCGTAGAGGAGGTATTCTACAACAGAGGATGATCAGCGAGCGCTATAAACGTGTAACGAAGGTATCGAACCTGCATCGATCCCAGTGTACATCTGCTTCAAGAGTTCCTGCATTGGTGCAATGTATAAAGAAATCTTGGTAGTTCGCTTGTGCAGTCTTTGAATATTCGGAAGAATACGCAACAACCAGCTGAGGGGAAGTGTAATATCGTGCAATGCCGTCTGGCCCCGAAGGCGCTTTGAGACGATCAGGAAGCCGCAAAGCGAATCCAGGAGATTGCATAAGACGCCGATGTCAATGGGGACTCGGTTCTTGATGATATGGCTGTGCCGGATTTCAGTCAGAGAGCACAGAGTGAGCAAGACTAAGCATTCACTTAACGAACAGGATCCCATGCACCAGGGACGCCCAATTGTCGTCGGCTAGGAATGCCAATAAATCGTCGACGATATACACATGCGTGTCCCCGCGTCGGCTCATCAGTAGACTCGGGGGATGATGTTCTTGGATACACCGGTTACGAGATATGTTGGCAAATGCGACCTCTGTATCAAAAATACGAACGAGGGAGGCGGTCTGTATCAATGAAGTCAAGAATGTGGATAAGTAAACACCGCCTCCGAAAGGCACCAGGCGATAGAGCCAGTCATGGAGCCAGTTCTTGACAATCTGTAGACCCTCTTCAAACTCAGGAATTAGGTGGCTGCGGAGGTTGCCAAGTGAACCCATCATGAAGAAGGGAGGTTCAAGAGCTTCGTGGAGTTGCCGGATCCAGTATCTATATGATCTCAGTGAGTCGCCAGTATGACTGCCTTTGGAAAAGCATACCGCTTCTGTCGTCCTTGCTCGAAAGGATGCTCGAGATAGCGAATAGTGTGGTAAATGAGGATTTGTTGCATGATCACCCGAACCCGCAGATTGTAAGACACGACGCTGTGAGATGCAGAATTAATATGCTCCCTTGGGCAATGATCCCTTGTGCAGCGACCTAAGGCACTGTAGGGAAGGCAAAGCTGCAGAGCTCGAATCTTGCGGCAAAGCTCGTTCTCTCCATTCTCTCCTAGCACCTTCTTGTACAGTCGTTCCTCCAAAACGAATCGCAGGAGCTTGTTGAGCTCCCATCGAAGGATCACCGCGCCTTCATCAGTATTGCGGAACGTAGGAGTGAGGCGGTCGTTGCAACGGGCATAGAGCCAGGTTTCCTTCGGCAGCAGGAAAGATTCCTCTGTCGCTGACTGGAAGCCAAAAATTTGCTTGATATCTTCGTTATCGCAAGGTTGCACATCAGATGCGAATTTCTGCAGCATCCGAACATATAGAAGGAAGTCCTGCAGCCTCCCTGCGATCTCAGCGAGTGAAGCAACTTGCAGTTTAGGAAGGCTCCGGAATACGTGATCAAGGCATAATAAGGTGGCAGCGTTGTTGCGATGCTGATGATGGAAGCGATTTGCGAGTGGAAGCAAATCTGCCAAATTATTAGAAATGATTGCACGGAACATTGCAACCTGACCAGTCGATTATCTCGCTTCAGAAAGCCAATGTATGATAACCAGTAAGTGAATGAAGCTCACTTGGTCGCGAGTGTCCTCGTCCAGATCGGCAATGTCTAATGCGGGCAGCATGCAAATCAACTCTTGCAGAGTCTCATTGCCTTTGGCTAAGTCCGAGCCGGGAGTTACACCAAACGACAATCCGCGCCAGAGCCCCTCAAGCATACATCGGGATGCCTGTTGTTTGGAACTCTTGCTCTCCATGTCCGCAAGGAACAGCTTGATAGCTTCCAGGGGCCGGCCTTCCTCCAGATGAAGCTTCGCTGCCTCGGCAACCCTTCCTAATTCTTTGAGCAGATCTGCTTGAGCAACGTCTAGCCCAAGATCATCCATATATTCCAGCGCTTCCTCGTCGGATTCGAACAGTTCTCTTGCTTGTCTATGTAGAAGGCGCGCTCTTAGCAGACAAATGCATGTACGGATATTTCAACCTACCTCAGCTCGCGGACTCTCAAGAATTGAACACGAGAGACATCAATAATACTATCTGCTGTCTTGGGATCGACTTCCTCTCTATGCGATTTGATGACGTCAATTGCCCGACTGAACAGTCCGGCTTTTCGATAATGTTGCGCAGAGAGGGTGTATTCATACGCTCTGAGATACGCCTCAGCAGCTTTTGCATCATCTCCGCTGAGTGCATAGCATTCCGCAGAAATACGAAAGTAAGTGCGCCTCTCTTTGACAGCAGCTTCTGCGGATGTCCAAAACGCATGTGCTGCTTGGACAAATGCATCCGCACGGGCCGTCTTATCCCCCCGTGCTGTGGCTGATGTTGACCTTGCCATCTCACGCAGATAGTAGGCGTGTGCCACTGCTTTCTCCCGAGGTAACCCTGCGCGGTCATAACAATGCATTGCTTGCATATACCGGCGGTGATTGAACAGAGTCAAGGCCATTTTGGCCCATTCCTCAGGAGTGGAAGACGTCGCCAACTGGGGAATATCAGAGCCCGGAGTGCAATTCTGTATTTGGTCCTTCGCCGTCCAGAGTGTCTGAAAGTACGTCTAGGTGAATACACTTGAAACCTCACAGTAACGAGCGCACCCTCATTGGTTCGCCTTTGTCCGAACTGTCCGCGATCCACAGGTTCTTCCTTGCACGAGTGATCGCAACATAGAGGGATTTGAGCTTGAATATATAAGGTGAGTGGCGATAGTACATGAAGGTGGTTGTGGACTCACGTCGCGGCAAACACCATTGTGGCGTGAATCATCGAATTGAGGAGCCTTATATTTGGCCTTTCGCTCGTCAGGCAGAGCATTGAAAACAATGCGCCATTGTGACAGTTCGACAGTAGAGTCTGCAAAAAAATTGTACAGGAGGACCTGACGTTAACAAGTGTCAGTAATGATTTCTTCCTGAGAAAACCGTAAACTGCTGTACATCGTTGAACTCTAACCCTTTGCTTTCATAGATTGTCCTGCATATTTTTATCGGTTCTGTCAATTAATCCAGAGGTGTTTCAGACGAACATACATGATGAGCCCGATATCGCCCACTTGCGCACGCAGGCGGTCTCGAGCAGCATCGTCGCGTACCAATATACCTGATCATATTGAGACTTAACGCGATGTGATGAGGCATTACTATACTCACACTGTTGCGCGCCGAACTCTATCTGGCTGCCGCTGTGGGAATATTAGAGGAGACTTTGGGATGATATTGGATGAACGTACGATTCTCCGAATAGAAATTGTTCGTATCGGACAGAATCCTCATCCCATCCAGTGAAGAACACCGGCTTAAGACCTTCAATTATTCCCCGCTCTTCGGCGAGGTTATCGATGGCATGGGGCCAGAACTTTGTGATGAGCTCGATGACGCTGTGCGCACATTTGACGATACCGGCATGCGAGCGATAATTCACTGCTAGTTGAAAAGATCGCGGTTGCTTTTTTGGCACGAAATCTGATGCCGAGCTCGCCTGCGATGGCAATCAAACAGGTGAATTACGGACCACTGACTGTATTTACCTCGATTCTGTACAAGAAGGATTTCAGATCATCGAATCTGAATGAGCTCCCGATAGAGATCGTCTGAGCTGTATCGCCTGCCCAAAACAAGCCATTGTCGGGGTTGTTGCAAAGCATCCGCAAAACTACTCATTTCGTCAGTATACGTGCAGATGACATAGTGAAATGACCTACCGAGTGCATCAATGAGAAGGTTGTCTTGTGCTTCGTCTACGTAACTGCATCCAGCGTTGACTAAATGCTGCTCATTTTTGAGGAAGGTCTCTTACATGAAGGCCATCTGATTACCGGGGACACCTTGGCGACGGAGCGCTTCGAGAAGTGTATGCGTCCTATTGACTGACTTCAGAGAAATCGCCCTGGCAACGATGACATGGCAATCACCTGTCAGCAGCATCATAATCGCGACGCTCTCGCTTCAGCTTAGCATACGCCATGAACAGCTTGTATATGGCGTCACGCTGGTTAGCAAACGTTGCTTGCGTGCGATGGCTCAGGCTGCAATAGGTATCTTGATCGAGGTGACCAGTGCTGCACCCGAGCGATTGTTCGGAGCCTTTGATGACTCCTGATGTACAGAAGGATGTCAGAAGAGTGGACGAGCGAGTTGAAAGATACCAACCCATGAATTCGGCAAAGACAAGGGCCGGATCTACTTGTGGTCAGTAGCGTCGACGCTATGGTAGTAAAATACGAACCTAGACCCTTAATCAATGTTTGAGGGAAACGCGGCCAGTATGACTCCAGGAACACGCCATACGAGACGAATGCTGACCGCCGTTGATGCATGTAATCGTTCGATGAAGCCTCGCTATTCTCGATGCCTCCCGCCCCGTTCGCATACATGTCTGGGTCCCCATGTTTGGACAATTCATTGAATGAGTCTTTGAACTCTACCTCCAGCAGGCGGCAAAGCTGGTCTCTTCCATTAGTGACGATGCCTTGCGACATGGTACCAGGATGCTAACCTGATCGAATGTGATAAACAATGGAAAATGGTCGTCTTGTAACTGACTGTAGCACTTGGGGAGATCTCCACGCCATTCTATTTCCTCATCAAGGTCCACAAGGCCCTGCTCTTGCTGACTTTGCTTGGTAGCAGCTAGCTCTCTGAGTTCAGCGGGAGACTTGTGTGCAGTCGCCAACGACTCATAAAGCTTCGAGAAGAACTCCTGGACTTTCTCCGCTAGGACGCGCGATTGAGTGACAAAAACCTGACGTGGCTTTGGTAGTGCTCCTTCACATGCCTGCCATGATCGTTCGATGCCTAACATCTTAAACAACATCGTCGTCGTTTTGCTACAAGGAATATTTCAGGCAAAGTATGAACCAATACCGTGGATGAAAACCGTACCCGGTACCACTCCTACCGAGAACGTAGCAGGAACCAGCATGCTCGATGATCTGCTTTTCCTGGGAGCTAGAAACCAACTGTTCAGACTTGTTCATAAGCTATGATATGAAAGCTACATACGACACATCGAAGACATGCGCTACGTCTTGGTCCGCTATGATACCTACCATGGCAGCCAAGGGCGTTAGATGCGACCAAGACGTTACCAAAGTAGAGCCTACTGTTAAGCAGTGCCTGAAATATATGATACATGCATCAGCTCGAGTTAGATCCTACGAATTACCTGGCGCACTTGCGAGAACGTGACATATTTCTCCAAGCTATGTACGCAATTAGAAGAACTGCTTGTTATGACATGATGATGATCAGAATCTGATACTTACACGAGCATTTCATGAAGCTGCGAGGGCAAGTCAATGCGTTCAACGTGAAAATGAGGTCAATCATACCTTTTCGAGATCATCTTTATGCAAGTCCAGTAATCCAGTCGACGGAGAGGTGACAGCTACTTCTACTGGCGCAGGGAATGAAGCAGGTAGCACCACATTCGGGTCGTTTGCTACTTTCCGAGACCGATTGCGGAAGGTGCAGCTACCAAACACTCTCAATAAAGGATTCCACACCTTGAGTCTGCTAGATGCCTACCGTCGCTTGTATTCTTTCCCCTTGCGACCGAGCTGATTACCGACGCCATCCCAGAAACGCCGGTCGAGTTGCGCATGCGTGTATACACCGAAAATCTTGATGACTAGTTGCATAAAGGGTGCGATGAGAAGATCGGCATCAAAAAGGTAGCTGTCGAACCTTGTCTTTCCACCTAGTTTTCTCGATTTACATCCAATGACGAGGGATACGAATGAATTACTTACGTCACTTTCGAACTCTGGTACACAGTCAATATGATACTTTGCACACAAGGCACCGCGTTAATAGCTGACGATTCCTCGACTGTTTGTCCCAGACACTCACGACGAGGCGAGAATCGCGCGTCATTTTAGCCTCGAGTATTGGGATTTCCGTTTCAGTGCCGGTCAGTTGTTTCTGATTGTCGTCCGAGAAATGTCCGTTGGACAGCTCCCTATGGTGCACATGAGATCTCTTCAAGGTAAAGAAGCGATAGAACCTGCTTGATCTTTTTGAGTACGATCTTGAAAAGTGCCGAGTTCTTCTTTCGCATCTGGCGCAGATCTCCGTCCGCACGGGTGGAGATGCAAATACGCCATTCACCGAACCCGTCAGCGCTGTCGAAGTATAATGCAGCTTTCATGGGCTGCACCATCGGGTATGCTGCTGGAGTATTCTCGCAGACTGGTTCTTCAACTGAAGGCATTGTGGCGCGAGGTGTTTCATGAGCAGAGACTTCTTGCTGGTCACTGTGCGACTCCCGAATGTATGCTCTGTGAATTGCTTCCCTGAGTTCCACGGACCGCAACTTCTCAAGGTAGTGCTAGCGAGTTCCTGATGATGAGCCACCACTCACGTCCCGAGGAAGAGGTGCTGACCTGTAAAAGTTCCTTCTGATCGACCAGAAGTTCAGCGGCTAGCTCATCCGCTTCTGCTTTGCTTGTGGGCATCTCGATGCCGAGGTCTTTGAATGGTTTAGGATCGATAGATGCGCGAGACTGGGCTCGCTTGGCCTTTTTGTGGAACCTCTGTGATTTTGTTTTAGCCCGCTTGACCACGAACGGCAGCTCTTCGTCCACATTCTCATTCTCATTCTCATCGTTACTGATATCAAGAAAGGAGCACAAGCTGAGAGCTTGTAGTGCCGGACTCGCCAATTCAACGGAGCGACGACAATCTCTCATCCTCTTCTGTTCATCTGCAGAACGCGGATGTTGTAAGAACAGAAAGAATAAAGAGAGCTGCTCCAGAAGTTGGCGTGCAATTGATCCCGCGAAGGCCTGAGCATTGGTAGGAAAATTGTATATAACTCCACTGATCAGCACGAGCGCCGTTGAGTCGCGCGCAGCTGGTGAGACAGTTTAGAATGACAAACCAGTCGCTTGTTAATAAAGTTCCTTACTTGAGACGATAAATTCGAGCAGACGAGGTACGGAAATGAGTTCTTGAATGAGTGATTCGACAGACACTGCTGGGTTATCGAGGAAGCTTTCGAGGACGCCCAGTGCGACCTCAATCGCCTCCTCGCTGCTCAACAGCGAAGCATCAAAGAGACTCATGTCCATGTTGGTGACATAGACACATTTCGATATGCTTTGAGTGCGCTTGTCTCGCATAGCGTCTGATGCGTGGGGCTCAAGCAGCTCAGATGTTGGGAGGTGAATGCAAAGAGGATGTAACTCTGCGGCTATTTCTCTGCGATAGAGTTCACGCCTCGTGTGCCGAAGCTCGTTAGGTCTTTAAAATCAGGCCTAGTGGCGTGTCTATTATGGACATGGGCGCCCAAACTCGGAGGTAGGCGCGCCGATGGACATTGGACAACTATGACAGTCAAATCGGATGGCATCCCACAATATCTCGAGTGGACACCACTTGGTTTAGCAGCGAGGGGCTAACCAGCGGTGCGAAAAAGCGGTAGCTCCTGATCCAAAGGGCAGGAGTACCAGGACCGAGTTGAGCAACTGCGATCAAGTGGGTCGAGTTGCAGGTTCCAACCTTCATGAATATACACCGTGACCGAGACGCTGCGTGTTCCGTCACGCAGACGAGCGTCTCGTCACAGAGTGTGATGTCGTAATTAGAACACCCGTTGAACCACGCTCGAAGGAAGCTGAGCTTAGCTATGGGTGTCAGGGCTCTTAAATATATAATCGATGACTGTATACTAGCTGTGGCCGTTTAAGCATTCCAGCAGCTGACATGCGATGGAGTCAGCCTAGTACGAACAGTGACGGTACTGCCAGCCAGTGCGCGTGCGACGGGTTTGTCCTGTTACCTGTCACATATATGCACACACCCCTTCCCTACGACACTCAAGTTGACAAATCAGGTCAGCAACGAATTCAAGAAAGTTATCCTTGAACAATAGGCTCGTATCGAAGTGCGACGGAGGCAAGCAAGCGAAAGAAGAATTGCTCAACCACTGCGGTAATTCACCACGCCGTCGACATCCTCCACGTTCAACTCAGGCTTCTACTTCGCAGACGTGACGCACAAATGCCTTTGATAGCGATCTTGAGGTCACCTTGCCATTCGGTTGTGTCTTCGGACAGTAGGGAACCTATGAGTTCCTCGACCTTCAAAGCGTGAGCTTTGAGTGCGTCAAGATCCCTTCGCACATGCAGCTGCGATCGAGGCTCGAGAGCCTTTCGCAGCCCCACAGCCTCTTTCACAAGTCGTCTGGAAACCGACGCACGACAGAAAATATTCAGTAGATGACAGCGATGGAAACAATTGGACACACATTCTCTTCGTCAGTATAGCTTGCACATCCTCCAGCTCTTGATGCACTGCAGTATCCAACTGCTTCAAGGCCTGCTTCTTCGACTGTTGAAGGTGCTTGTAGGTGCACTCGAGACACAAAAGAAGGTGGGGAAGAGGTCCCAAGAACAGCATCTTGTAGTGCTTGTCCTCGTCTCGCCAATTGATCGTCGTTGAAACTTCGTGGCAAGCAGCAACCTTACGGCGCCTCATCGCCTGCGTTTGACTCGGAGCCCTTCCCGAAAGGCGGTGCCGCCGCACGTAGCTGCGGTACGCTGACAGGATAACGAAGGCAGCCCTTAGCTCCGCTCCGGATAGCGCGGCGGGAGCCATCGCAATCTGATCGGGATCGTCGGCGTCGTTATGCAGAGTAAGATCTTCAAGTTCGGTATAGAAGGTCTGTGGCTCGTCATCGCCCACGTCAACATCTTCCTCCTCATCAACTTCGGGCTCCAACCCATCATCTGTCGTCCCCGAGGATTCGTGTTCTTCGAAGCGCACGGGAGGAGCAGGGATGAAAGGTGCAGCTTCAGCTCGCAAAGCACTTTTCGGTGCGGACGGCATGCCAGAATTGATCAAAGCAGGTACATCTGCAAGCGAGCAATAAACCACCCGCCGCACATTAGAAGGCTCAACGATAGGGGGCGGCATTCTGCTTGACTCATGCAATTGTATCATTTCGTCCATCCAAGAACCCACGGTCGATCGGCGGACGGCACTCGCGACGTGAGACCATGACCGCGCAGTAACATACCTAACCCCAATTAAGCAAGTAGAAGTGATAACTAGACATCTCAGTGCACTTACTGAGCATAGATACGGTCGAAGTTTCGATTGGACTTGTAGATAGATGTTACAGTATTCAAAATTGTCGTTCTCATCTTGTCGTCACGAATGTTATAGCCCACTGAAGCAGACGCGCCGTGAGTGCCGTGCTAGTCATCTAAAAGTGGTAAACACAAACGTAGGCATATGTTTCTGCAGCTGCAATTCTTGATGAGCAACAGTATGACGATACCAGCACTAATGCTTACATTCTTGCAATGAACACGGCCCTGACTTGGTATGGAAGCGTAGATAAAGTGCGGTTTCCATGCAACAGATAATCTATGCGAGTTCAAGCGTAATAACTGGTGTAATTTCACATATGCTACCAACCTGCACCGACACCTGTATACATCTGCTCCAAAACGTCCGCCATGGGTTTGATGTACAGATGTATTTTATTCACTTTGCGCTTGTGTAGCCTCTCGACATTTGGAAGCAAGTGTATCAGCCAGCTACGGGGAAGAGTTAAGCCATGCAGATTACCCCGCCGAGGCCAAATGGAGACGATTAACATCCCGCAGAGTGAGTCCAGGAAATTGCAGAGAACCCCGACATCTATGGCCCGTCGATGAGCCAAAACATGACTGCAGATATCGTCCATGAGTGGAAGACGCTATTTTTTAACAGTGCGATAAGCATACTAGATGAACTGGATCCCTCGGTCGAGAGATGAGACCGAGTCATTCTTCGTGAACGCCAAGATATCATGAACCACGTATACTTGATGGCTTCCTTCAAGCCTCATCAGAGGCGGCGGGGGTTGGTATGTGGCGACTGCACGGGAACGATGCGCATGGAAGAAGGCTAAATTGGGATCCCACATGCGGGCTAGTGAGAAGGCTCTCATCAGGACAGTCAAAAAGGTCGGATTGAAGTCCACACGGCCAAATCGATCAAAGCGGTAAAGCCAGTCGATTGCCCACCAGCTAGCGATCTGCATGCCTTCCTTGAATTCAGGGATCATGTTACTTCGAAGGTTTTGCAGCGTGCCCAATGTATAAAATGGAGGATGCAGAGCTTCGTGTAGCTTACGAAGCCAATAGCTGTCTACATGTCAGTTTCTATTCCGCATATACATCAGATGTGGCATTGAACGCTTACGAATGTACTTTTTCCTGCTGATATTTTTCCTGATCATCACGAAGCTCCACAGCATACATGGTCTTATATATGAGAACTTGCTGCAGGTAGATGCGGATGCGCAGATTGTAAGCATCAATATTGTACGACGCCATGTCCGGGTGCTCTCGGGGACAATCAGAACGCCTGTTACAACGGCCAGACGCGCTATGGATCAGACAGGGCTGCAAGGCCCGTATTGTGCGACACAGTTCGTTCTCGCGTGACACCCTATCGCGTAAGCGTTCTTGGAGGACTCCGCGCACAAGCTCGTTCAGCTCCCATTGGGGATCGACTGTCTCTTTATCAGTCATGTGGGTCGGACTGCTCTTGTACCGCTCGTAGAGCATGGTATCCTTTATGATCAATTCCTCTGCCGTTGGATTGAAGCCAAAGAGTTTTCTGATGTCCGCATTGTTGAATGGCTGCGCATCAGAGATATACTGTTGCAGCAAGCTGACGTATAGCAGAAAGCTCTGAAGGCTCTCCGCAACCTCGTGTAGCGTGGCATATTGAATCTCCGGTAGATTGGAGAAGGCATGGTCTAAGCACATGAGCGCCGCAGCATTATCTTCATGCGATCGATGGAAACGCTCGCCGAGTTGCATCAGAGCATTTGTATCTCGGGAGTCGATAGCACGAAACATGGATATCTGTGATTTATGAATTACGGTCAGCATTCAACATAGGGGCTGTATTGATGATACGAAACTAACCTCATCTCGGGTCTTGTCGTCAAGAGGAGACGTGTTCAAAGTGTGCATGATCGAGATGAGTTGCGACAGAATGTAGTCGTCCTTCGCATAGCTTTGGGTAACACCGAGAGATAAACATCGCCATAAGCCATCCAGAAGAGACTGAGATGCATGTTGAAGAGCGTTTGGACTTTCCTTATCCGCAAGAAACAGTCGGATAGAATCCACTGTGCGGCCTTCCTGCCTGTGCAGCTCAGCGGCTTCTGAGAATCTTCCCAGGTTCTCCAACGTGGTTGCACGAGCGACGTCCATATTGTAGTCGTCCATATATTCAAGCGCCTCCGTGTCCGATTCGAACAGTTCCATGGCCTTCCTACTCAACAGCGTTGATATGATCGGAATTATATGAAAAGGCGGCAAAGCACGTACTTCAGTTTGCGGGCACGCAGATACTCCAAACGTGAGACATCAATGATGCTATCTACAACGTCTGCGTCCATGACGTCCCGATGATCTTTGATGACGCACACAGCTTCATCAAACTTGCCTGCTTTACGATAGTGTCGTGCAGAGAGCGTGTACTCAGCTGCGTCCAAATATATGTCAGCGGCTTTTCCTTCGTTTCCACTAAGTGAGTAACACTCTGCAGCTCTCAGCAGATACGTGCGATGTTCCCCTTTCTTTGTGGTACTCTCCGCGGAAGTCAAGAAGGCAACAGCTGCAATACGGAAAGCTTCTGCACGCTGAGTATGACCTCCTCGCGTGGGACTTGGGATCGATCTGGCTTGCTCTCTCAGGTAGTATGCATTGGCGACGCCCTTCTCCCTGGGCATGCCCGCGCGTTCATAGCAATGCATGGCTTGCATATAACGTCGGTGATTGAATAGGTTTAACCCCATTGCAGCCCATTCCTCACACTTAGAAGACGTGGCAAGACGGGGAACATCAGAACCTGGCGTGTAGCCCTGGATTTGATTCCTTTGAGTCCAAAGTACCTTAAAAAAAGGTGTTGGATCAAAAGCACATGTTACACGTCATGAATCTCACTTTCATGGGTTCACTCTTTTCTGAGCTGTCCGCAATCCAGAGATTCTGTCGCGCTCTGGTGATAGCGACATATAGAGATTTGAGCTAATCATATGCATCAGACAACAAGATCGTCGTTCCTCGGTCGGACTCTCTGGAAAGTAGGGATGCACTCACGTCCCGACACAGGCCGTTGTGGCGTGCGTCATCAAATTGAGGCGCTTTGTACTTGATCTTCTCCTTGTCAGGCAAAGCGTTGAAGATCACTCGCCATTGCGCAAGGTCAACCGTTGAATCAGCGAAAAAGTTGTACAACAAGACCTGTGTCAACGTTATGAGTGGGTATTCAACAGAAGAGCATGGCATGCTACATCATTGAATTCGAGACCCTTGCTTTCATAGACCGTTCTACACCGCTTCAATGTCAATGGACGTCAGAAGTCTTTGCATGAACGCCTACAAGATTAGACCTATATCTCCTACTTTTTCTCTCAGTTTGTTACGTGCAGAATCGTCGCGAACCAAGATGCCTGTTCCCCTTGAGTAATGATTGTGATTAAAGGCGGATAGACTCACATTGCTGCGCGCCAAATTCTATCTGGCTACCTCTTTAGGAAAGTAGTCAAGCGGGGAAAGCAGATCTGACATGACAACCGCTCACGATTCCCCGAAGAGGAATTGCTCATACTGAACAGAATCCTGATCCCAACCACTGAGGAAGACGGGCCTCCGACCTTCAACGATTCCTTGCTCCTCGACAAGATTGTCGATGGCATAGGGCCAGAAAGTAGTGATCAGCTGGACGACAGAACGCGCGCAGTCTACTATCCCAGCGTGTGAGCGATAGTTGACGGCCAGTTGGAATGATTGTGGCTGTTGCTTTCGCGCCGTTGACGTCGCCTGATGACACGACGACATGAGATAGCAATCCAGTCTGCCAGAAAGGGACCACATGTACCTCCACTCGGTAAAGGAAGGCTTTGAGATCATCGAACCTAAAATTGCTTCCGATAGAAATGGTTTGCGCGGTATCTCCTGCCCAGAACAAACCGTTATCCGGGTTTCGACAAATCGTCCTCAAGACTAGGATTGACAATCAGTTCACTTTCACAGTGCCAGATTACCATATTTCTCGCCTAATGCATCAATGAGCAAGTTATCCTGTGCCTCATCGATATAGCTTTGCAAAACGTTATCTGAATAGAGCAACGAAACTATGATATCAATGCAGCTCACATGAAGTCCATATACCCCCCAGGAACGCCTTGAGTACGTAAGCTGTCCAGGATGAAGCGCGTCCTACGAGACAAATTCTATTCATTGCCGGACACAGCTCATGAACGCGATGGCGTACCGGTCTGCAGCATCATACTCTCGTCGCTCACGCTTGCGCTTCAAGTAAGCTAAGAACAACTTGTACAATGCTTCTCTTTGATTCGCAAATGTCGCCTGCGTACGATGGCTGAGCTTGAGATATGTATCTTGATCGAGATAACCAGTGCTGCTTTCCAACGTCCGTTCCGACCCCTTGATGACACCTGAGAAGCAAGATGATGATAATAGATGGGGGCAGGATCTAAAAAAGTACCAACCCATGATTTCGCCGAAAACTAAAGCAGGATCTGCATCAATCGTTATCAGCATCTCGACAAGCAGATAATCTCCTCGAACGACAGACCTAAGCTCTTCGTCAATTGCTGGGGAAAATGCGGCCAGTAGCAGTCCAGGAATATGCCATATGAAACGAAAGAAGAACGACGCCGTCGCATGTAATCATTTGACAGGGGCTCCTCGACATCAGCGCCAGTAAGGTCGTTTGATAGTGCGTTTCGACCGTCCTTAAATGACGTAGCGTGACTGAACTCGGCTTCCAGAAGACGACAGAGCTGCACTCTGGACATCAGACAAGCTGTTTCACCTCAACTGGTATACGTACCTGATCAAAGGTCAGGAACAGAGGGAAATGCTCCTCTTGCACCTCTCCAAAGCGCTTCGGCAGATTTCCTTGCCAGTCATCCTCCTCATCAAGATCGACCAATCCTCGTTCATGTTGTGCACGTCGGATTGCGGCTAATTGCCTGAGCTCCGCGAGAGATTTGTCCGCACTTGACAGTGACTCATATAATTTCGCGAAGAACTCGCTGACTTTCTCGGCCAACACGCGTGACTGAGTGACGAAAAGTTGCCGAGGTCTCGGCAGCGCGCCTTCGAATGTAGGCCATGTTCGTTCGATACCAAGCATCTTGAACAACATCGTTGTAGTTTTTCTGTAAAGAATGTGTCAGTTGATGTTCTTCACAGTCTCAACTGAATACGTACCCGGTACCGCTCCTACCAAGGACGTAACAAGAACCGGTATGTTCAATGATTCGCTTTTCTTGAGGACTGAGAAAGTGGTGGTCAGCTCATTTCAATACCACGACCTGGCTAGTACATACGAAACATCGAAAACATGAGCAACGTCTTGATCGGCAATGATACCTATCGCGATAGCAAGGAGTATTAGGTTTCATCGAGACATCATGAGTACGGGGCCTCACTGTTCAGTAGTGCCTAAATGGAACGCGACCCGCGTAAGGCCCCGAATGAACTTGTACATGACCATCAGATACTTGCCTGAGAAAATATCACGTATTTCTCCAGTCTGTACAGATGTTCAAATCCGTCGCTGCAGGTGACACGATGGCGGTCACTAATTCGGTACTCACACGAGTATTTCATGAAGCTGTGGGCACATATGAGCGGCAAATTCCGTGATAATGAGACACTACTTACCTTTTCTAAATCGTCTTTGTGCAGATCTGGCAATCCTGTTGACGAAGTGACAGTGGGAAGCTCTTCTGAAGCCGGGAACGTGGCGGGAAGGACAACATTCACATTGTCTCCCACCTTTCGTGGCCTATTGCGGAAGGCACATCTTTCGGAGTATTGTAAACGACGAGTGCATGATTCGCGAGAACGACACACACCGGCGCTTGTACTCCTTTCCCTTTCGCCCGAGCTGGTGGCCCACGCCATCCCAGAGCCGTCTATCCAACTGTGCATGCGTGTAGATCCCGAAAATCTTTATGACTGCATCAAACAGTAAATAGTATGAACGACTAGTCCAATTTTAAGTTTAAATGCGCAGACCTTGGCGTTCCACCTGGTGCATCCCAGACCATGCAATCAGCACACGCTCATATTGGGGAGATGGATCACTCACGTCACTCTCGAACTCGGGAACACAATCGATGTGGTACTTGAGTAAAGACATTTCGTTTGAGAGAGAGAGCAGTTACTGTTAATGCAGGTGTACCACTCACGACAAGACGGGAGTCGCGTGTCATTTTCGCCTCAAAGATGGGGATCTCCGAGTCAGGACCAGTGAGTTGCTTCTGGTTGTCATCAGAGAAGTGCCCATTGGACAGCTCCCTGTAGCCAATTTAGATTATTTCAGGACTGACCAGACCGTTTCTACATACTTAATCTTCTTCAGAACGATTTTGAACAGCGCAGAGTTCTTCTTTCGCATTTGACGTAGGTCGCTATCTGCGCGGGTTGATATAAGTATTCTCCATTCGCCGAGTCCATCGGCGCTGTCGAAGTACAGGGCTGCCTTCATGGGCTGCACCATGGGATAGGCAGCCGCCGTACTATCGCCGACAGCTTCCACCGTCGACAGAATTTCGGTGCGACGTGTATTTTGCACGGAAGTTTCGGGCTTGTTCTCGTGTGGCTCGCAAACATATGTTCTCCGGATTGCCTCCTTCAAATGAATAGACCGTAACGTTTCCAAAAAATACTAGCACGGCACCCGCAATGAGTTGTTATTTGCGCGCTGAGCAAAAGATGCTGACCTGGAGTAGCTTTTTCTGATTGACAAGGATCTCAGACGCTAGCTGGTCCGCGTCGGCTTTGTTGGTAGGTACCTCAGCGCCGAAGTTCATGAACGGCAATGAGTCAATCGTTGCATGGAATTGTGCTCTCCTCATTTTCTTCTGTGAACGCTGCGACTTGAATTTTCCCTGCTTCGCGGATTGCGACCTTTCCTTCGTAACCTCTGCTTCATTCGCATCAATGTCTGCGGTAGCGAACGAGTGCGAGCTGAGGGCCTGGAGAACGGGATACGCGAGCTCAATGGAATGTCTACGATCTCGCAAATTCTCGACCTCATCAGCAGAATACGGATACGGCAGGAATAAAAGGAATAGAGAAAACCGATCTAGCAGTGCTCGCGCGAGCGATTTAGAGAAATCGTGAGCGTTATCCGGGAAGTTGCTGACAATGCTGCTGCTCAACAGGAGTGCCGTAGTTTCGCTCGCAACTATTCGCAGGATTCAGAATAACCATCAAATATCCTGGCAGACTGATCGCCTCCTACCCGAGATGATAAATTCAAACAAACCGGAAAATTCAAGAAGATCGTGGATGACCGAGTCAGTGACAACCACTGGATTATCGAGGAAACTATCGAGAACGCTCAAGGCGATCTCAAGCGATTCCTCGTTGCTCAGCGGGATTCTTCCGAACAAGTCCATGTCCAGTTTGGCATGAGCTTGCTTTGACTTTGAGGTATTTTGTTCGTGTCGGTCTCTCATCGTGTGAGGCTAGGGGCTTGGTAATGGCGGAGTAGAGGAAAGAGGGATGCAAACAGAAGGCGACTGCTGCGGCCATCCTTCTATGCGATAAAGTTCACGCCTCGTGAATCGAAGCTCGCTAACTCTTTGAAAGGCATGAGTATATATGGGCGGCGTATCCATAAAAGTAGACGCATCAAATGATCAAGCCGTCAGATGTTACCATATCCGATGATATCATACTGAGGGTACAGCACGTACAGCCGCACTCGAACAACGCAGAACTGCACCAGCTTGGCCTTGTACTAGCTCCCGCGTGAGGGGCAGCAGTTGCGCGAACGACTCGGTTCCTTTGGGGTGTCGCGTCACGCTTATCGCGCCAGTCACAGAATATGTCACGTTGTGCCACTCATTCGTAGCACGTGATCACGTGAAAGACGGACGCCCATCGCCAGCGCCAAGCGGGCCTCATTGCAAGCTATTCATTACTTCGACTTTCCTCCCAATTTTTCTGGTAAACCTACTCCTCTGGGTTGGTTGCGAATCACCGTGCAAGCGTAGCCCTCCATTGACACCGCTATCGTGGCCAGACCATGCCTCCTCCGCATTATGACTTTCTGATCAAGGTGAGAACGATTACATGACGCATCATCATGTTCAGCGATGCTCATCCGCATCTATCAGTTGCTGCTTATCGGCGATTCAGGTTAGTGAACCGTAACGACGGGCATACCGTACGCCTGATGGTATTGATATCGCAGGCGTGGGCAAGTCATGTCTGCTATTACGATTCTGCGACGACGCATGGACGCCCTCCTTCATTACGACGATTGGCATTGACTTCAAGATTCGAACCATTGAGCTAGACGGGAAGCGTATCAAGCTGCAGATCGTACGTACACTGCTAGTCGCCCTTGTGCATTCAGGTTCACAGCGATACGATATCGCTAGTGGGATACTGCTGGCCAGGAGCGATTTAGAACGATCACCACGGCGTATTACCGTGGCGCAATGGGCATTCTTCTCGTGTACGACGTAACAGATGAACGGTCATTCAATAGTGCGTGCCTTCTCAAATACCACGTTACTCATCCCATCCCCTGACGTATTGTCCAGACATCCGCACATGGCACGCAAACATCGAGCAGCACGCTTCGGAAGGTGTTAACAAGATCCTTATCGGCAACAAGTCGGACTGGACGGACAAGCGTGCGGTGACGGAGGAGCAGGGCCGGGAGCTCGCGGACGAATTGGGCATCAAGTTCATGGAGACGTCGGCCAAGATCAATGAAGGTGTCGAGGAGGCATTCTTCACACTGGCTAGGTGCGTTTGTCTTTATCAACCACGGAGTTTCACGGCGTAGGTATTGACATCATCGATAACCTGCAGAGACATCAAGGCACGGCTGATCGACTCGCAACCGGAGGCTGCAGGAGCAACGGCTGGGCAGACGGGAACCGACGGAGCCGTGAAGGTGAATCAGCCAGCGAACCAGAGCGGAGGCGGGTGCTGCTGAAGGCTGCAGCGGCTAGACATCGGCTACTCATATTGTGTACATAAATATCTCTCTCTTTCTCCTTGTTGTCGTGAACTTTTACCGGATGGCGTCCACGCCGCTATTTATCCCCGTGTAAACTCATCATGCTGGCGTGCCAGTACAATATGCCTTATGGACCTATATACCCCTCTATGCACTATTCAACACGCACAAGCACGAACACAAATACAACACAGGAGAAAACGCATACGAGAGGCGTTCACTCCTCAATCGGGACGGACGAGTTCCAGTTACCTCCCCACCATCGCTTGATGCGCTCGCCACCCCATTCCTCGTACTCGGCCTTGGTCACGCCGACCTTCTTGAACTCATCCGTCTTCGCAAAGTCCGCCATTCCCTTCCAGGCGTCCAACATCGGGTCCGCGGCCCGCACGATCTCCAGAGGCATCTCAGGCGGCAAGATGGGCCGCAGCGTCGCATGCAGACGGGAGACTATTCCAGGCAGTTGTGACGGCCCTCCAGTCACAAAAACGTTCTGAATGTGAAGTTCAGTCACTGATTTGACGATGAGTTGCTCAACTATACCTTGACCAAGCGTCCCTTCTCTGGGTCAGGGAAGCGTGAGAGAATGCTCTGCAGCACCTCTCCTATACCGGCGGAGTCCACGCCCGCCATGTTGGGTGAGAACCACGTCTCGCAGACACGCCAACGCTCGACATTGAGGTGTATCCGTGTCTTGCCTGCATTGCACCGCCGTGAATATAGACAAAACAAAAAAGTATCATGGAGGCGTACCTTCAATGTCGCCTTCGTCATACTGCGGTCGGAATGCAGATAGCAGGGCAGATCTCTGAGCGGAGAGGGAGGCATGTGTATGCTCGTGCGTGAAGGACGGGTCGTACTGCAGCAGCTTCTGTTCTACCGCCTGCAGGCTCGCGAGATCTTCTTCCTCGTCAGAAGACGCTGCTGCATTGTTCTAAGATACAAAGTTATGAAACCCAACGTGCGTGTATCTGGCGAAGGTGCACTTACGATTTTTCGGTAGATCGCCCAGTCCGCATCATCGGCGCCAAACATGTCCTCTGGTTCATACCTCAATAAACTGTCTTCCACGGATTCGCTGTCATAGACTCACCAGCTCCAGTCTTTCTGCGCTTCTTCGGGACGCGATCATCAGCGGCCAGATTCGCGATGCTCTTCATCCGCGCCTGAGCAGCAGCGCTCTTGCGATCTGTCAGCGCAGCCCTCCTCCTATTCCGCTCCTTGATCTTGTTCATGATCGTCTGCGTTACTATGCATCAATCAGCCTGGACCTATCGCGAAAGAGCTGACACAACCTCCTGTTCTTTCCGCAGCTTGCTCGCCCATCCTGATAAATCGCGATCGCGCTCTTCTTCTTCTCGCCGCTCTTCTGCCTCTCTTTCCTCGCGCTCTCGCTCTTTCTCGCGCTTTGCACGTTCGCGAGCATCGTAGCCTGCCTTCAAGAGCCGTTGTTTCCGTTTCTCTTTGAGGCCGTCCTCGTCCAGCTAGAGCAAGAGTCAGAACGAAGAGCCAGCCGTTCAAGGATTAGAAAGGACACACATCAGCATCGGGCACATCGAGGAGAGGGAATGATGGTGGCTCCTCCTGTGTGGGGATTATAAGTTGTATGAGGCATTGGGTGAGAAGCAATGACACCAACTTCTTGCTCATCGCCATCCGTCTCCTTCTTTCTCGCCTTTTTCAAATCATTCTCTAGCTTCTTGATAGCACTATCCAAGGCTGCATCGTCATCGAAACCTTCCTCTTGTAGTGTGTTCTGTCGCTATGTGAGTTCAATGAGCATGCCTCGAACAGAAGGGATTCTTACGGTCCACTGCTTCTTGTTCTCCTCTTCCCGCCTCTCTCTTAAGCTCAACATGTATTGCAAATCGTTCTCTTTCTGCACAAGCTGATGTAACGAGTTCAGCATTTATGTCATTGGCACATCTATGTATAGCCTACCTTCTCCATCCGCGTTCTAGCTGCGATCTCTTGCAGCTTGCGCCCCTGCTCCTTCTTACGCTCCGCAATACGTGCGAGCTCTTCTTCGGTTTTCTCTTCTGTGACAGGAAGCGTGAAAGAAAACTGGATGATGCGCTCCGCTTCACGCATTTTTAGCGGGTCTTTCAGAGTACGCAACAGAGAGGTATAGTCTGTCGCAAACTCGCAGAAGTTTTGCAACATCCACTTCCGGCATGTCTCAGCAGGTTGAATCTCGTAGGAATACACAACGTACATTCGTCTGCGTTGCAGTGACGCGCGTTGGGAAGGTCGGGTACTTCAGTTGGATCAGCTTGAGAAGATAGTCCGTCGCTTGATTTGCACCCCATGGTATACGCTTGGCGTGACTCATGATGCCCTTCCCGTTCATTATCGGTATCACAGATGTCGATGCAGAGTTGAACGATATGACGAGGCCATCGGAGGTGAAGGGAACTGGTGGCGACGGGAGGTTATTGTGGTAGAAGGACAACACAGAGTCCACGCAGAAAGCAAGGGAGGGCACGGAATATTGCTCAAACATCAGCTCAGACGTCAGTCCACGGGAGTGCAACGGCGAACAGAGGCGCTCCGTCATGAGCACGGGGTGTTCCACAGTGGGAGCATCGATGCCGAGCTGTATGAACGCGTAGTCGAGTGCATTCTCCTACATCTCCCTGCGAGATCAGTGCTCGCGACACATCGCAATACTGTGCATTTGCTCACAAGGGCGTCAAAATTCAGGAGCACATCCCCTTCCCATGGCGTCTTCGCCTGCGATTTGGCCCCTCCCTCGGCTTCTACACCGTCCCCAAAGAGCAGCAGCGGCTTGTTCGTCCTTCGTTCCTTGTACTTTGACACAATATTTGGCTGACAACGAGGCTCGGACGAAGTGCAGAAACCAAATCTCAGAGTAGTGGAACCATTATCGATGATTAATGGAGTCTGCCTGCCTCGGTGTTCATCATAAGAGGCAGCCACAGGGAGAACCGGCACAGCCGGAGCAGGGAGGCGCGTAATGTTCAGTTGTTGAGCCATGGATCATTGAGACGTGAACGTTTGAATGTTTGAACCCTAGCAAGGTGTCAGGCGTCTGGAGGATGCAGAAAGGCGACGTCGGCGCGCCATCGTTCACAGAACGCGCTGTGGCTGCGAACCTGTATCTGCAAGGCTATTAGGCGCCCGCACTCGATAAACTCACCTTTCTTGGGAGGGCGTTGTGGCCTAAAGTTGCCATGGCCTTTACACCTGGTGATGCGCATTTACTTGGGCAATGCAGCACAGTCGCGTAATTCAAGGTGGCAAGACATACTTCGAAGATATATTTCATGACAGCACTGGAAGCACCGTGTAACACTAATGCGCGGAAAAACATTCCACGAGCGGTTATACTATGTCTGTAGCTGTCACTGATGCGTACGACCGTTCTGGTTGCACCGGTATCATCGCCGTATTATGCGTTTTCAGCTCTCTTGCAGCAGCTGTACACTCACCATACACCAAGGTCCTCCTGCCAGAGTCACCTTAAGCTTGAAGCTGGTATGTGGCGCGTTCACGTGCATCACGAACTGAGCTCGCCAACTGCCATTCTAAGTCGGAGGTTCCGAACACGCGGCGTTCTGCTGCGAGGGGCAAACTCTAAACGGGCCTCATATATATAGTTGAGCTTGCTGGGTAGATCCGATAAGGTTCTTTTCGTTCTTTCCTCCACGCTCAAGACGCATCTTCCGCCGGAAGCAAAAGCATACGAGGCACCAAAATGAAAGATAACCACCTCGCCTTCGACGTGCATATCTTTGATGCAAGACTCCTGGCTGACGAAATATCCGTCGAGAGCGCTCTTCGCGTTCTTGAAAGCTATCTCGAGAACCAGGCCGTTAGCATCAATGAGTTACTGCGCGATTTACTCTCTGTACCTCATCTTCTCGAGTTCGTTGTATCAGGTATCTTCAGCTCTTCATACACACGATATCATTTCTCAACAGACCGTACAGCACAAACTGATGCTGCTTCAATTCTGCTCTGGACGCGAATACTGGGACTCTTTCCTTCAGATATGAACGGGTTTCCATCGTCGGTCGGAAGGCAGCTTCTTGAGGGGTGGTCGCATCTGCTGTGGGTTTACGGGCACTATCTCGACTCTCAGGAAAGGCAAGATATGGAGGATGTTCGAGCAAAGGTGTTGCTAGCGATCCCGGTGCTGGTAGCTCTGTCCTCGGCCTTTCCTGCGAGCGATTCGCAATTAACCCATAGCGACGCGAACAAACGGGCGTATGCAGGAACTGACAATGCCGCCCAGCCACTGGTCGAGAAGTCATTCTATGACCTCGGTCTTCGGGTCCCTCATAACAGAAACGAAGCTGTAAAACTTGGCGCACACCTAATTGAAGAACAGAAATGTCATTTGCGGGTGTGTTACACAATCTGCCGGTCTCATTGCATGTTCGTTAACTGGGGTTAATCTGACACAGCACTTCTTCAACACCCTCCGGCACCCTCGTCTGGTGGACGAGCTGAGAAATGCGTACATTCCGGAACAATCATATGCTAATCTATCCACTCAGCAAAGTACACGATTGAACGCATCAGCTGACCTTTCGAGCGTTCTGGAGCACATGCGGCCTTCGGCGCATTTTGATGGAGTGGACGGATTTGGCCCTTGGCGCGTCATAATCTTGTCTCGCGCTGAAGGAGACCTTAGAACGGCGCGCAACAAAGTTCCGAAGCTCTTCGATATAATTTCCAGAAAGATCCGGTACGCCTGCACACACCTCGCTGCCAAGTCTGATCTGATCAGCACTGTCTAGAGAGCTATCTAACGGCTACTTCACTGATGACAACCACCGCAGGTTAAATACAACTCACGAAGGAGTTTCGTTATACAAAGGGAGACTTACGGGCAAGTTGTGCTATATCGTGCGTTCATGCAATTTAAATCCCCATACCAAACTTATTTGATTGATGTTTCCGTGACTAGTACCAGATAGATTGCATTCCTAAGTTGGATGAGAATGTATGCCACAGCAGACTGCACGGCAAGGTTGTGATACTGACCGACATGATCATCCAGGGCGACGAGCAAGGTTGATAAGATGCTCGAGTTTTTCATGTTTTCCCATGTTGATGCGGTGCTTCTAGTCATCAAGCTCTTTGGAATCTTTACCTTGTCAAAACTGAACATGTCGCTCTGGAATGGCGTCAGCCGCGAGCTCGCAAGGAGAGGTACAAAATACGTAGAACGGTAATCGTTGACCTCCTGCCAAGCACCTTGTTCCCTAATGCGTGCACAGCTGCAACCGTAGAGAATGCGAACGTGGCGGTGTCATTGTTCCTGTCTGCTTCAATATCTCTCTTGAATCGCCCGATTTCGACCCATCAAGCAGGTTAAGTACAGGACCAAGTGAACAGTTGGAACAACAGGTTTGTCCCCATGTGTATTTTACTCTACAACATCGTGATCGTTCTGATTGTGTATACAGGTGTATTCGATGCTAGTGTATGTGTAGATTTGGCCTGAATTCGTGTAAATTTTTTAACCGTCGGAATCTTGTCCCAGCCTGAACACATATGTCACTCTCTCTAAGGTATGTACCGTCCATTCACGACGTAACTTCCCAGGTATTAATCTCATCATGAACGACAGCCATTGATGAACAGTATGTCTGTGATGAATTCGTTTCCTTCGTCACTCATGAGTCTTTGTGTCTCGCTCATCAACGTCAGGCATCTTGGCCGATCATGATGTGGCAATGTTATTCGATCTATCGTAAGCCCTCAGACTGTCGCGTGTGCCATCTCACTCATTGCATGCTCCAGGAAAGAGGAGCAAAAGATCACTGATTGCGCGTCCTCTTGTTACGTATTGGGCCGCAGCGGAACGGGGTAACGATATGATTCTCTCAACGATCGCAATTGTTGCTGAAAATTCACTGACAGCAAAACGACGGTGATTCTGCACAAAATGCTCGGAATTGAGCAAGCGTGGGAGCACTGTAGAGGTGCATTGCCGCGGCCTCGCCAGCTATTTGTGACGAAATCGCGCCTCTTGGCTGACAATGTGGAGAATGCATTTCTGCGAATTTATGGGTCGCTCTCGGATCCAGACGACTTCAATGAGATCGATAGCATCATGGGATCACGTCGACACCAATCTCGCGGTCTAGTGGACAGAGACGAGGAAGCCTATCGCAGTGGTGAATTGCCGCAACGTTTCAGCGACCTCACGGATGAGCATTTTCCGTTATTTCTCTCATATTCTCAGGTGAGTCGAATACTGAATGTTCCGGAGTGCGCAACGTCATGTCCACTCTGTATAGCTATGTCGAATGCTCGAAGCCGAGTATGAACCACGCGAGCCGCATATACGGTTGGGTCTTGAGGTACATAACACATGACGCGTGCTGCTCCCACTATATAATCGCACACGGTAGAAACGAACGGGTACGATTTCGTACAAGCAATTTCTTTCTTCCTATTGGCCGCATTTTCCTCAACATCTCACCAATGGCCTTGGTATGTGGTCATCGCATGCATTCATATATAGCCTTATTTCGATCTAGACTCGGCTCTTGTTTACAATGAGATCATAGGTAAGATAGCTTTGAGCAATGTGACGTGATGGTTTACCCAAGCTGGCAGGCGTCATCGAGGGATCCGAAGAAACGGCGGTCTCTAGAGGCGGGAAGCCTTTAGATGAAAAATTCTACCTTGAAATGAGTGATCGGATAGCCGGCACCTTCTTCCGTCAACGTAGTGTGATCTATCAGCTGTACCTTGCTTACTCGAAATGCAAGCGGGAGCGTGGGGAGTTCGATGCAGCAGATAGGTCTGTCGGTCATTCAATTGTCAGAGTTGATCGATGCTATTGTTAATGGCAGGTCGCACGAGCTTTTGAGAAACCTCCAGGAACACGGCCTTTCCGGCTTCAAGCTAGACTTCATGTTGAGTCTCCCGTTCCGCAAATGATCAGCGACTCTAATCTTTCATACAGCTACGCAGATGAAGTTCAAGACAACCTATTGATCGATGCGCTCGGTGAGATGTTACAAGTATCAGCTACTGACCTAATATTCATCGATCGAGAAACTGCCAGTGCTCCGAACCATATGCAGCAACCCACGCAGTGGTCTGTTGTGGGCAGGCGATACTGCGCAGACTATATCCGATGGTTGCACTTTTAGATTTGAGGACCTCAAAGCACTCCTGTACCGTGCCGAAGTGGGTCGTCATACTCCTCGTTTAAAATTGTCATTCAAGGAGATGTGCTCAGCGGCGTCTCAACCCACGGCTTGCTTCATCTTTGAGGCCTCCGGATTTACCGCTAACAACAAACCATCGCTCTCATGAAGGGATCGTGAGATGTGCACGTTTAGTGGTTGAACTGCTCGTAGAACATTGGCCCGAGTCCATTGATCAATTCAAAAAAAAAGAACGAGGAGAGAAGGATGGACCGAAGCCTGTATTCTTGCGTCACTGGAAAGAATGTACCCTTCACGGTAATGATTTGTGAGTATCTTGATTGGTCGGTGCCACTTCTCGTAAGTCACGCATTCTACAATCGCAGACGGAGCCGGACAGTCCTATTCGGTGCACAACAATGTGAGTGTATTATTCATAGTCCGCTCACTCTTATTCAACTGTCAAAAGGTGTTTTGGTGCGTAGCGACAGAGCGCGCGAAGAGTTGAATAAGAGAGCAGGAGATATTGGCCTCATTCTGTATGTGCACATTTATAATCGGAGCTTTCACCGTGACATTCATGTGCTTTTGCAAAGGACACTTCAGGAATGTAAAGGGTTGGAATTCAATGACGTATGCGCTCCTGCCTGCTATAGAACATAGTTCACAGTCGTTTCGTAGGTATTGTTATATGATTTCTTCTCTGACTCGAATGTCCCACTCTCGGAATGGCGACTCATCGTGAATAACTTACATCAGAGGACTCTAGGCCAAAGCCTTTGTCGCGAAGTGAGTATGAACGGCCTCTGAACATGTGTTGACTTAACTGACGACCTACACTAGCTCAAGTTCTTATACGTAGCAATCACCAGGGCCCGACTGAACATTTGGATGGTAGATGATTCTGAGAAGGCCAAGCCGATGCGGGTACGCGTGTTCATTTTCATTTTGACACATTGAACTGTACTGAGAGTGAGATAGGCGTTATGGAATGGTGCAAATGCAATCCACGATGGCCCGGTCGATACATCTTTTGCAGCTCTCGCCACGCCATCAGCGCCATCAGAATGGGCAAGAACTGCTGAGAAACTCTTCAATGAGAAACAGTACGAGCGTGCTGCAGAGTGCTACGAGCGAGCGTTGCGTCCTAGAGAAAAAGCGGTTGCTATTGCCTACCACCTCCGAGACCAAGCAATACTTACTCCATCCAATGGCGCGATGCAGGTCAAGGCGTATGAAATAGCAGCCCGGGCATTCTTGCAGTCCGCAAAGGAGAACACAGAGGAGAAGAGGACCTACTTCAGGATCTCTGCTGAGTGCTTCATCGCGAGCGGCTTGATTGCCGAAGCTGCCAAGACATACGAGGAGGCATTCGAGTATACCCTCTCAGCACAGTACTATCGGCAAGCAGGCTGGTTCGACGAAGCGGTCAGGGTTGTGAAACAACATCGCATGCAGATTCCGCCGAAGACGGTTGATGAAATTGTGGATGTGGCGCGAATGTTCTACTTCATGAGCTGCGACGTCGCTGAAATTCAGTGGGTCTTTGTAAAGCTCGCTGCGTCATATTACTGACCTACAAATGCACAGCAAAGCGACGAATCTGTTCGAAGCAAAGCAAGATGGACTGAGATACATCGAAGACCTTGGTTTCGGCATTTCTGCCAGACTCAGCATTGTTAAGGCAATCTATTCGCAAAGAGCAGGTCTAAAAGAGGAAGCGGTGAACTTTCATCTGTCAGACGGAAACGTTCCCGCCGCTATGCGGTCAATCGTTGACTGCAGTCAGAACTTACAATGGGCAGCTGAGTCCCTACTGCGCTGTCTATGGCGAAGCTTCTCGCTCGGGACCAATATCGCTTCGTCCTCTGTATCGCTGGAGGACTTTCTTCGACAGCTGTCTAATATTTTGAATCTCACGAAGACAGCTCCCATCAAAGCGGACACATACCAAGAGGTACGTCACCAACGGTGCATCGTCTGCTCTCGTAATGATCCTCGCGCCATAGATGCTTATATTCAAGGCCTTGTTGCAAGGGAATGACGAGCAGCTCCTCCGTGTCGCCCGAGATGCAAATAGTCGACGGCCAAATGATATGGCCACGTTGCTTTGCCTGGACTACGTCTTCTCGAATCCGACGTTCTATTTGAACGCCGACGCGAAAGCAGCAGTGATTGCTGACAACCTCCAGTTATTCCTCGCGTTATTGGAAGCTTTGCGATCCCTCGCATTTCGCGCAAACCTGCCCAGAGAAAGCGACATCCAAACGTTGATGCAGTTCGAGCCTGTCACAGGAACATCATATCTAATTCGACCCAAGACGCTGCTGTATGACCATTGCAAGGATACTCAAAGATTCTCGCACTATCTCGAGGAGCGTGGATATGTGGTACCTGAATGGCATATGGATAAGCTGCTTCAAAAAGTCCTGCGACATCACATAATCGAGAGAATCAATCAGGAGAATCGGGCCTTTCGTCAAGCAATCGCCTTGACCAGAACTGCAGCGACGAACGACATTCTAGTGCCCCCACGTGATGAAAGTGACTACTATCTCCAAATTCGTATCCATCTTCAGCAAATCCTTGTCTATCATCATAGCTATGGACTGCAGACGCGACGTGAACGTATAGACCAAGAAAGGTCAGCTTCTGCTGTATTACGTTTGCATCTATGCTGAACAGCAGTCTCCATCAGTTATTGGCTACAGCGGTTCTTTGATGATCTACATCCAGTTGACATCAGCTTTGGTTCTGCTCTTCGTGCTCTGCGTACATCCGCCGTACCGGAGCTCGAGAAGGGCATCACTGTCATCAAATACTGGGTTCAAGATCTCCTTTATGAGAGGACGTTCACACGAGACATCTTGCGCCCTATACTAGGCTTCCTGTCAATGGGACTTGCATCCAGCAGGGCACTTTGTGACTTTCTTCGATGGGATTTTGTTTCAGCTGTGCCTAGACGACGTAATGAGCTAACTCGACCTGCCGATGGAGTCCAAGTAGTAGAAGAATTGCTGAGCTTCATGCGAAACGATAACCGGTTGTCATTACTAAGGGGTGTCTTTTTCGTGCGGTAGGTATTCAAATTTCTAAGTTTCGCTCGTTGCTGACTCTATGATCTAGTTATATACTCGAGCATAACATTATCATAGACATAACTTTGCTCTGCGACTTGTTGGATGATATCTGCGGCTGGCTCGTCGTCGCGCGGTGCTACGAAGAGCAGTCAAGTCTCCATGATGTTATTCTCCCGCTAGATTGGCTTGTGCGATCTGCGAAACGGCTACGATGTATCCATACTAGCGATACTGTCACGAGCTTGCTGCCAATCTATTTTGAGCCGTTGGCAGACCTATTGGAACAACTGTATACCGGAGGATGCGCAGGTGAGCTCGCGAGCTTCGCGCTGTCGCTCACATTCATAGCATTCCCTCTAGGTCACATACGTTACCAAGGTCAGAGTGTTACAAAGCCTGGGAACAACTTCAAGCATATCGCGCACAGATTCATTGCTCGGATGTAAGTCTCACCCCACGCTGTTGTCATGAGCTGCGATGCTAAAATCAGTGATTAGTTGCAAGAATCTACACTTCCGTGAGCTTCTCCGTCTACCGTGCGTCCAATCGCCAGTTGACGTCTATTATGATGACTAGTTGGATTGAATCTGCAATATCGATGGTTGAAGGATGATCTACTAGCCACAATGGGTTCAATCGGGAAGGCAGGCCGAAACTTTCCTCAGCTATATGCACAGTAAGTGCGATGACAGTACGTTGTGATGGTTCTCTGACGGTGTTCAGATACGTCACTGTCGACCGATGGGATGATCTGACATCGGTGCCAAGCCTCGTTCCTGAATTCTCTGGACAAATGATTCAGCTCCATGACAAACGTATATCATCATGCACGTCTATCCCAGTCTCGACGGTTCGACACGTATGGTACAGCACTCTCGAGGAAATCCCACAAGTTGTGCAAGCAATGTCTCCTGCTCCACAATTCTCCATGCTTGATGCAGGGTTCGCTCCGGATACATTGCAACACAGGCTCGCGACCGCACGAGAGACCGATTTTATCCCGCCCGAGACCAATGCAGCTAGGAAAGCGGCTAGTGTTCTCCTGCATGCGTACCGCATTTCGCGCCACGTTTTCCCAACTGGCCTGGTGGCAGCTATGAGGCAACACTTCTTCTTAGCATGTCGTGAAGAAGCCAATAAGATATCGTGGCCATGCAGGCATCATCGACTACTTTTTCTAGGAGCAGTCCCACACATATTGGTCTGCCTCGAACTATTGGCTGAAGATGCACGTTCAACAGTCAGGAAGGTGCTAGATCGCATGAGGATTGATTATCACAAGGACTTGGAGGCTCGGGTACACGAAGCACGGGAAGCAAAGTACGTCTCACGGTCAACATTTTGCTGTGTGGCTTCATCAATGAACATACGCATGTAGGGGAATGCTCGACAAAGTGATGGCATTGCAGCAGAGCTTGGGAGTCAAGTCGAAAGTCCATAAAACGCGTAATCTGCAGGTTCTGCTAGCTCAGGTGCGGGAGGTGGAGGTTCTCGTGCGCAAACAGTCACTCGCTCAAGGTGACATGCGACTTGCTGTGAGAGGGGTCGAGAGGATGATTGAGAGAACTCGGCTGAACAGAATTCGGCGTTTGAAGCCAGCCGCATGCCGCGTCTGCGATTACCAGCAGCCTGAGTAGAGCATATCCGTTCATCGTCAACGTTAGTACGTACTTCTTGCTTGTTGTACATGTGTTGTGATCAGCTCGCAAAGAATTGCTCGTTCCTTGCCTGAAGTTCCTGCAATGGCGGTACTTTACAATTCACAAGCAATCATCGTACAACTTGACCACTGACATGGTGTTTGAAGCCAGCGGAGCTACGGCCTGAGCGGAATCGTCAGTCGCGTGCCAGGCTGAATATTTGTTGTGGAATGTAGTCTTCCGAGTCGGTAAGGTATGTTGCGAACTGTTGGCCACATACCTCAATATCAGCAGAGCCGACGACAGCGAGCGTGGATATGCGCTCTCGTAGTGATAACTATAACGGATTCGGCATAGTAAACGGGAACATCTGCGTCAATGGCCTGCGAGGGGAAACTATCAGGCGGAGTCTGTGATAGCGCTCCAAGAAGGTACCGTTGAACTCTAAACCTGCAACTGATGCATGATGATTTTTGTGTAACGAGCTCGGAGATGCGCTAAAGATGAGATCTGAGACCCCCGGGCCCCACTGGCACCTCTCACTTTCACTGCGGCTTAGGACTGAGATTCAGGGTTGCTATATATATGCCTTCATAATGTGTTACATCTTATTTCCTTCCCCAAAGCAGCTCCTATATGATGAGAGATCGCGAAGTTGAGATGAAAGTTGCCTCTAGGATGATCATGAAGTAATAACCCTAACCCTAATTCGGCCTAATTGATTATGAACGGTGCTATAGCACCACAATCAGCGTAAATGATGCCAAAATGCATACAATTAAAAGTGAACGTGCTTCTAGCTACAAGCTAAAGGACGGTGGTATCGATGGATTTGTCTTCTGCAAGAAGTTTTCCTCCGACAGGATTTGAAGAACAGTCGACTGGACATGTACACAATAGCACTAGATAAAATAACAACACCGTGGAATATTTCGATCGATTCATTACATGTAATCCTTTTCGTCCATATCGTCCAAGAACCAATTCGCCTCAGCCTTAGCCCGGACTTCCTTCTCCGGCATCCCTGCCAACACCCTCAGCTTTAGCAGCTCGGCGAGGGCCGTGGCCATCTCGTAGTGTTCGTTGGACACCCAGGTCTCCGTCTCAAAGCCAACTATGACTCGGCAGCCCTCAAAATTCTCGTCCGCTACTTGCAGCCTTGCGCTTAGCTCCTTCGTCTTGCGTAGGTCTTCGGCTTCGAACACGACTGGACACGGTACACCTTCCCCCGTAAGACTCCCCTATATCTCCGTTGTCTCTATCAGCGTAGCCTTCAGCGCGTGAGTCTCACCCTCCCACGGAGCACCGGCTTGGTCGACAACGCGGCAGATGAACATGGACACGGGATCCGACAACGCATCGTGATGGAGCTTGTTGTACTCCTCCGCGTTCTTGACGTAGTGGAAGTGGACGAGACGGCGGTGGTAGAGTCCCATCCCGTGGCTTTGCTCGGATTGGTCCAACTCTTTCATGTTCGCCGGCAGTGAGGGTGGGATGAGATCCTGCGAGACCGGGTCATCGTAGTTCTGCAAGCGACCCGGAATACCAGCGAGGAGAAACAGGGGTAGGATCGAGGCGTGTTGCCAGTCGAGCAGGCCCACGATTTTCAACTGGTTAGAGTCTGACGACGTCGACACGATGACGTTGCTCGGCTGGAGATCGGGATGGCGGATACGGAAATGATGGAGAGCTGGATTCATGGGGACGAGCGAGGATGCGATGAGAAGGTATCGTTCGAGATTCTTGACGTGGTCCGACGGTGACTGCTCCTTGTACCCGTAAGCCTCCCTTCTTTCACGCTGGAACGGTAGTAGCGGTCGACCGAACTGTTTGAGATACTCCAGTTCCTTGCGAGCTGCTGCTACGAGCGCTGCCTCGACGCTTTCGTCTATAGTCTCGATTAGTTCCGGAAAGTTCAACAAAAGAAAAGGCAGAGAGTGGCGTACATGGTCCCCTGTCCACGTCGAGTTGCGACCTCCTTCCGTACCACATATGCAGCCTGGCATCTGGACCGACGCAGAAGCGCTCGTCTTTGAGGGGGATGCCCTTCCTCCCTGCCACCTTCTCCAGGTCGTCGGTATAATAGAGGCTTCCACCAGCGGGAAAAGAAATCGACATCATGCAAGACTCGAGTTGGGCAAGTTTACGCAAGACCGAGACGATATCCGGTTCCTTCAGCTCCAGCCACACGTCGCTGAGCTTCGTACCTTTTATATACTCCATGAAAATATATTTCGTCTCCGCAGCGTTGTCCGACGAAGGAGAGTAATCGTAAACCTCGGGAACAGGCAGCCCAGAGGAACGGAGGAAACGCATTGTGGCCACTTCACTGGCAATAGCGTAGAACTTTGGGACCGTGACGGGATACGGGATACGGGCTACCATCTCGAAGCCGCCGTGCATGGTGATAAGGAAAGTCCGGTTGAAGCCGCCCTCGGCAAGCTTCATGAATTTGGCGATATCTTGAGAACTCCGACCAACAGACTGCGCCGCAAGTCGACAAAGCTCGTCGACGTTGAATTCACGTCTGCGCTCTTCGAGGCGAAGGTCATTGTTGACGCTGAATGTGCGAGATTACGAATTAGGCATATACGCCAGAGAACAAACGTGTATAAGACTTACAGCCAGCGTCCCGATGAATAGTTGAAGCGATCATCAGGAGAGTCTGCAGGAGAGTCTGACATATTGCTTGAAAATGCACGACATGGCAGCTGCCAACAGGTCCGAGTGAAGTTAGAGATTGAGGAGGAAAGATACGCTGAACGCAGCGAGGAGAGAGGACGGCACAGAGGCGGAGAGATTGAGACTGGTCGGCGTAGCAGATTGAAGACGAGCCTCGCACGCCCGAGGGAGTAGTGCATGCAAATGTGTGCGGAGGGTCATACTCCCTGATGTGGCAGTACAATAAGGGCCAAGGACGAGTTGCAACGCCCTACTAGAGCTGCTGCTGAAGTCAGCAAATGCATCCTGTTGCATGAATGTATTCAATAGTTGTTGTGCCCCGGCTGTAATCTGAAGTTGTAATCTGTTGTTCTGGCAGTCCGGGGCAGACGTCGTCCCGATAAAAATTTTATGCCAGCATCCCATCTCGATCTTCGCGTAGAAGGGGAACCGACGAGTTGACATCCGTGGCACGAGGCACCCTGAAAGGTTGAACTCTATCTTGGGTTCTGATGGATGTCTCTATAATTATATATAACAGCCTGGCCGCACGGTTAATGGCACGTACAGCGCCCCGCTCCCATCGCTTCCTTTCATCTGATAGCCCCCCTTGCAAACCCGTAGCCCTTTGAACTTCTCCCATCATGAAAGAGAAACCTTCCCAAAAGTTAAGCTACAAATCCTTCGATGTGGCATTTCTGGATGCCCGGCGGCTGGTGGATGAAGTTGCCATCGAGAGCGCTCTCAGCGTCCTTGAGGGCCACCTCTTCAATCCAGCTGCCAGCATTGAAAGTATGCTGCGCGACCTGACTGCGGTTCCAAACCTTTTTGAGTTTGCGATATCCTGTGCGTGTGATCCGCTCATTCAGATTTCTTGGCACCTTATTTTGGCCCACAGCGTTGGGAGAATCAGCCGCGTCCAAGCTTTTCACAAGGATCGTCGAGAATTTCCCAGTGGGTGTGGAAGGGGTCGCCGCATCGCCGCATCGACACATCTTGGAACGATGGTCGCATTCTCTGCGTGCTCATTCCCATTTACTGAGCGCGAAAGACATCCGGAGTCTGCAGGACCATTGCGCCACGCTGGAGCGTTCTCTCAAAATATTAGATGTCCTTGCTTCCTCTCTGCGTGCTCTGCCGGGAGATAATTCGGATGTCGTCGTGGCTGGTTCTGGAACATCCGAGAGGTCGCGTAACCACACAGTTCGAAGCGGACGACTCATGCGCCAGGAGCTGCTGATGAGTGTTAATCGGCAGTACTTCGTTGAGCTGGCCATATCTATTCCATGTAGCATTGAAGAGGCCGAGGAAGTAGTTGCGTTTTTACTGGAGAAGCTAAAGTCTATCCTCCAGGTACGCATGCCATATTCCAATCAATCACTAATATGCCGTTATGAACTTGTAACGCAGTATTTCCTGACTATGATTCGCCACCCGCAACTCTCTGAGACTTTCAGAAGCGCATATATTCCAGTGAATTATCAAGTGCAGCGAGTCTCGCCAAACATCCGGCGCGTCAATTATCACATTCATTTCGACGGCGCAAATGGATTTGGCCCTTGGAGGCTACTGCTATCACCGCGTGCTGAGGGTCACATGCGTACAGCCTACAATAAAGTGCCAACCCTTTTTGAGATCATAGTCACGAAGTTTCGGTATGTTTCTAGCGACTGTCGAATTGCCGAACTACCTTACCGTGCTTGCGACAGAACCTTGTCAAATGGTTACTTCACTCATGACAACCACAATCGCTTGAGCGGAACGGAGGAAGGCGTTCCAATTTATGAAGGCAGGGTCAACGGCAAGCTGTGCTACGTTGTGCGTATATGAAGCAACGAATCTTATCCATACCAGCTCTGAGTATTCATGTGCAGTATCAAATTGACTGTGAGCCTGCTTCCGTAGAGGATGCGATGGAGCTGCAGGAGGAAGAGCAAGGTTTGCTTTCTGTTTTGATTGGCATCGATATTGGTTGACAACAAGAACTCTAGTACTTAAGATCCACGGAATCTTCACCCACAGTAAAATGAAGTGGCACATCTGGAAGAGGCTAAGCCGACAACTTGCTCGGTCTAGCCCAGAATACGTACAGAGGTGAGAGCCATGACGACCATTTGAAACCAGGTTTGACAAGTTCGAAATTCAAGATGCGTGTTACTTTCCGATGGAGCAGGGAAGAAGGACGTGATCCATCCGAAGAAGTTTAATTCCATTTCGCAGCATCCAGTGATGGAGCCTCCATCCGTACCAGTGCAGCCAGACCTTCAAGAGGATTTTGATCTCGTGCGTGTATCGCTAAACGTTATTATTTCCGACCTGAACGCTAGTCTGTTAGTGGCAATCGGTCATTTTGTAAGTCTATGTGATGCTCAATGTGTCAATGCGATCTCAACTTGTAGCCGTTCCAGCCAGAAGAATTATACCGATTTATCTAAAGTAAGGATGACGTCATGACAGTGTTGCACATTTTGAACGGCTCAAATTGATAATGAAATGTAGTGCTTCCTGGCCAGTGAGTGTTGACATAACCAAAGCTCTTGCGCTGTATCCGCTCATTTCCTACGGCAGGCATTCTTGAGGACCCACAAATCACCCCGCAATTTGATCCTACGTAAGCAGGATATCATCAAAAGTGGATATCGCTGATGGCATGTCCCTTCAGTGACGAACAGAAGGAAATTATGGTACATCCATCCTCTTGCTATATCCTTGGAAGGAGCGGAACAGGGTGAAGACTACGAAATTCTATGACAACCTGATTTCCACATTCTGACTTATGCAACCATTAGGAAAACGACCGTTATCCTGTTCAAAATGCTATGGATTGAACGATCGTGGATGGAGGATTCTGGAATATCGGTGACACCTCGCCAATTATTCATTACACGATCGCGTGATCTGGCCGTCGAAGTTGAAAAGACTTTTTTCCGTCTCTACGAGTCTAAATTCGCTGTCGACGACCCTTTAGATAAGCTATCAGTAAGAGCGGGGAATTGGCGGCAGCAGGTTTCCAGATTTCGTCTTGTCGACTTGGATGAAGAAGCAAAAGAAGACGGTGAACTTCCTCAGCGCTTCACGGATCTGAAGGAAGAGCATTTCCCCCTTTTCCTCTCATCTGACGAGGTGTGTGTTTCGTCGCAGGTCGCTTGTTAATTTGGCTTCATTACATCTTTGCAGCTATGGCGCATGCTGGAGGCTGATCTGCAGATTTCCTCAACGAAAAAGGTGGGTTTTTAATGCATCGTTTCCGCGACACAACCTTGAAAGCCTGCTGAAACTTCAACGTATCAAGTTGATTTCGTACGACGTGTTTCTCAACGAGTACTGGCGCCATTTTTCAGTCTCACTCACCAGAGGACTGGGTGCGTTTATATTTGCCCATTATTCGTTCATGTCATGCTTAAACCCCACACTGTACACACGTCTAGATCCAGCTTTGGTGTTCAACGAAATCATCGGTAAGATGCCCCTCTCTAATATGACAGCATCAGCTTATGTTTCTGTCGTAGGAGTGATCGAGGGCTCAGAAGGGACCCTGCACAGCCGAAATGCATTTTTAGATGAAAAGACATACACCGACATCAGTAGACGTGCAGCCAGAACTTTCTCCGACCAAAGAAAAACGATCTATGATATATTCGTTGCATATCTCAAGCGCAAGCGCGAGCGTGGAGAGCAAGACCCAGCAAATAGGTTTGGCGGGGTCGCTATTCTGTGAATGATCGTTAATTTCCTGCTTCAGGACTCACATAATCCTGCAGCACTTGCGACAACATGGCCTTCCTGGCGTGAAACTGGATTACATGTAAGCTATGCATCCGGCTTCGCCACCAAATGTTATGTTGACTCGATGGACTAGCTATGCTGATGAAGCACAGGACAATCTGTTGATTGACGCTCTTGGTAAGCCATCGAATACCCTTGCACTCGACGCCAAACAGGTCATAATGTCGTTATGAATCTCCAGTATTGCGAAATCTGTGCAGAAATCCGATTGATGGCCTAGTTTGGGCGGGTGATACGGCCCAAACGATCGCGGACGGGAATTCGTTCAGGTTCGAGGATTTGAAGGCTTTTCTATACCGCGTGGAGGTATTTTCGCATCCATCTGGTTCACAAAGTCAGAGCAATTGACACAGAATTTGCTTATCAGAATTCCGACCCTTCACCCTCCCGTCCGCATGTAGAGCCCCACTTTTTCCCACTCGCGCTGAATAACCGCTCCCATTCGGGAATCGTTGATTGTGCTCATGCGATAATCAAACTGATCACTAGATTCTGGCCCGACTCGATTGACCGCTTACCGGACGAAAAAGGCAAAGATGATGGGCCTAAACCAGTATTTGTGCGCGAGTGGAAACCTCATGCACCTCCTTCTGAGGGCAATGAATTGTGGGTTTTTCTCTTGCTGGCCTTTCCCGCGGGAATCTGAGATAGTGATGCATGGCGCCAGTGATCGTACTCTACTCGGCGCAGATCAATGTAAGTACGGCATTCAGCATTATTGCTTTTGTCCAACGATCATCCAGGTATATTGGTGCGCAACGACGCCGTGCGTAAGCAACTACGGGCACGAACATCTACGGATGTTGGCCGAATTCTGTGTGTGGTCGTCTCCCTCCTTGCATGCCCCAGCTCACTCTTCATAGTATATTGCAGGAGTGCAAAGGTCTCGAATTCAACGACGTACGTAATTACTCTATGCGAGAGCATCGCTGTGTCTCACATTTGGAAAGGTCTTCTTATATCATTTCTTCGAAGACTCTATGGTGGGCCTCACGGAATGGCGAGCTCTTCAAGCGTCGGCAGAGTCTGAGGATAATGCTCTCAGGCATGCGGTTTTGACGCGCAGTCTCTGCCGTGAAGTGAGTGGTGCTGCATCTGGTCCACCTTGCTCCATTTTGATCACCTCTATCAGCTCAAGTTTCTCTATGTGGCAATCACGAGGGCGCGATGCAACGTCTGGATAGTGGATGACTCTGAGAGGGCTGCTCCTATGAGGGTATGATGTATGTATCTCTCACGTCGGCTTCTACTGAATAACACGTAGGACTTTTGGCTCTCTCGGGGTCTCATACAAGATGATATTATGGGTGGTGATGTGCCAAAACCGCCTCAAGAAGATGCAGCAATATATATCAAGTTTGCCCAATCGCTCTTCCGTAGGAAATTATACGGCCTTGCTATGGACGATTACATGCGAGGCAAACGGCCAAGAGAGCAGAGAATCGCTCATGCATACTCCCTTCGAGAGGACGCGCGAGCCATGGCCGCGGATCAATTGCAAGCATTCCGATTGGCGGCTCATGCATTCCAGAACTGCGCAAGGGAAGCTGAAGATACGAATCCAGACAAATATATATACTTCAGGATCTCAGCAGAATGTTTTCTTCGTGGCGGTGACGTGGGTTCTGCTGCTCGTCAGTACCTAGAAGCACGGAAATATACCCGCTCTGCTCAGCTGTACCGGGAGGCGGGCATGTTCGACGAGGCCATGTACGTTGTACGAAAGCACCGGTCGCACATTCAACAAGAAGCGGCAGAAGGCATCGTTGATGTTGCTCGGATGTTTTATCTCGGAAACGGCGACATCAGGTATGCCAGTGCGGATTTTATATATGTATCTCTTCATTGATCGAGCTATAGGAAAGCAAGGAAGTTGTTCAACACTAACCGCGAAGCCGTCGATTACTTGGAACAACATGGGTCAAGTCTTGTCAGCGCCGTAAACATCACGAAGGCTATGGTTCTCGAGGAGACAGGCGATGTCGAACAAGCGGTCAACGTGTACTTTGAAGAGGGACATACGATCACAGCGATTCAACGTATCACTGCAAATAGTCGCAACCTGCAGTGGGCAGCTGAGTCATTACTTCGTTACTTATGGCAGAACCTCTCCCTCGGACTGGATGTTCATTCTGCTTCCACCGTCCCGAAGACTGCCGTCGACGCCCTGCTTCTTTTACTTTGCCAGAAAAATGTGCATTGTCTACGCGAGGCTACTTATCAAGAGGTACGTCCACGACAAACAGTTATTTTGATCCATTTCTAACCTGTCAACAGATGCTTGCCTTCCGCGGCATACTGCTCAACGACGATAAAGCGCTCATACAACTCGCTAGCAACCCTTCTATGCTCAAGCATAATGCCGCTGCCGCTCTGTTATGTCTTGACTATGTTTTCTCGAAGCCTTTTGAGCTGAGCAAGTGCTCAACAGCCTCCATTACAAGCAAGCTCCGCGCCTTTCTTCGCTACGTGACGAGCTTGCGCTCCTTTGCATTCTGTAAAGATATTTCCGACGACAGCAACGTTCGGCGACTGCTTCAGTTCGAGCCTACATCTGACGGTTCGTATCTCGTGCGACCTAACACGCTTCTACATGGTCATTGCAAGAGCACTGCGGAATCTGTGGGCCGCTCGTGGAAGGGAAATTACCTGCTCATACGTGGACATCGCATGAACAGCCTGTTGAAGCAGGCGCTGTCTAACCATCTCATCAGCAGGGTCACGAACGAGAATCAGGATGCGCATGGTGCACTGATTCATCATGATAATGTGCCGTGCATGATTGGTGGACATCATGCATGTCAGCATCCGACTTGCTGCGAATGCGGGGCTGCATACGGCCTTCCTGTCCTCATTCATCTTCAGCAAATCCTCATCTATCATAGCACTCGTGGACTTCTTGGAGCGGCTTTGGACGAGAAACGGTTGGTTTTTGTAGCAATATCTCTCGAATCATACTCAGCTGAGCTGTTCGGCAGTTATTGGCTGAATCGGCTGTATTTCGTTCTCCGTCCTGCAATCGCACACTCCGACATTCTTGACATTGCGCGTGATGCCATGGCACCAGAATTCGAGGACGCTTTCGCCGTCGTGAAATGTTGGGTTCAGCACGTTCTCCTTCAAAAATGGTCTCCGAAGACGTCTGAGCTTTTCCTTTCGGGCTTTTCGCCGATGGCTCTTGCACTCAATGGCTCAATTGTCCTCCACGTATCGCGTAACATGGTTCCTATTGGCAGATTCATCCGACCCGCTGATGGCATAAATGTCGTCCATTGCCTCACAAGCTTCCTCACAAATGGCAGAAGCTTCTCATTGGTAGATGGTGTCTTTTTCGTGAGGTGAGCATTTTTCTTACATATCTGCTGTCCTTTCGCTTTATTTAGTCGAAATCTCCAGCCACATTCTAGAGCACAGAATTCCCATTGACATATGCCTTCTGTGCGATTTATTGGACAATCTCTGCGGAGCACTTGTAGTCGAGAGACAATATCAAGAGCAATCAAGCCTCCACAATGTCGTTCTTCCCATGAGCTGGCTTATTCGGGCGGTCATGTGGCATCGGCGCACCAGAAACACGGTCACAAATGTGCTGCCGATCTACTTTGAGCCACTGGAACAGTTACTCGAGCAGATATACTCCGGACTTCAAGATAGTGAGTTCTCGCGTTTACATTGCAGTCAAATAGTATCTTGACTAGGTGTGCAGACAATCTTCGGTACAATGGAGAGAGCTTGCGGCAGGCTGCGGGCGACTCGATAGAACTTCGACATACGTTTATTGCTCGAATGTAAGCCGCCATTCTATACGCCTAAAGCGATGTCTAATCCATGAAGATAGCTGCGCGAACCTTCACTTTCGTGAGTAGTCGGACAAATGTTGGCTCACGATCCATCGTGGGCTGATTCATTGGAAAACCCTTGCAGTTGGAGAAAATCTTCAATATGAATGGCTTCAGGAGGATCTGTTGTCGACAATGAGGTCGATTCGGAAGCCGAAGCGGTTGTACCACGCATCATACAAGCAGTGAGTAGACTGGAATAGTAATCGTATGCCATAATGATGGTGAACGACATAGATACGTCACCGCTGCAACTTGGAAGATGCTTCGAATGGATCAGCAATCTGCTTGCCGTCGCAATGGGATCGTTCAGCTTTGCGAGAAAGGCCGGCAACCTCGAGAGCACATGACGATTGTAAACGTCCGAACGATTGAGTTTACTAACCTCGATGAGCTCCCGGCCTTGTTAGGCATGGAAACATCGTCTCCAACAAGAACCGATACCTCCACACAATCTGCAGAGCCCATCTCTACCGCAACGATCGCGCCGCCAATCGCGATGCGCGCGGCCTATAAGAAGAAATCGCGAGCAGCCCAGATTATCTTGCGTGCGTATCGTCGATATCACCTTCGGCGTCGAGGGGTACCAAGCCATCGGCATATCATGAGGGTACATTTCTTCAAAGAGTTTCAAGGACAAGTGCCCGCGATGCGCTGGGCACGTTCACGGTATCGCCTACTCTATCTTGGCGCAGTACCACACCTGCTCGTCTGCCTGGAGTACATGGCTCGGCACCTGCGCCCCCTTGTGGCGACCAAGTTGCGGTGGGTGACACGGGTGGACCACATCAAGCTTGAAGAGGCACTCCGTGACTTACGCGAGACAACGTGCGTAGTATTCGTCAGCGATTCATTTGTTTGTCAATGCATGTGACACGCTTCGTCCAGTGAACCGTATGGAAAGGTGACACACCTGCAAGACATTTTGGGGGCGAAGTCAGAATTCCATGTAAGGCGTGACTTGATCGGCTTGGAGCAGCGGGTGCTCGAGGTGCGGGATCTGGCATCGCGCCTTCCACGTGAGGCCATGAAGGAATTCGACGAAGATTTGCGGTTGGCGACGAAAATGGTGATACGGAGGACAACGATCGGGATTACAGGAATCCGCACTCACAGAGCGTGACACTGTCCGCAGGTACTTCGACCGCGCTACTGTTGCTGATAAGAATAGATATTACATCATACATATGCTATGAAAACGTCGCAAGCACGAGAGCAAAGTTGGAAAACTTGGAAGTCCGTGACAGCTGGATGCAATCTAACAGCATTGCACTATACGAATCCATACTGCCCACAAAGGTCATCGTCGCGATCTAGTAGTTCGGGCTGGAGTGGTCCGAGAGTTCTCAAAACGTTTCTTGATGTCCGCATACCCCTCGCGATCTACTCGATGAAAGTAATAAGAACCTCCGCCATTCCCCCAGGAAACGCTTCCGGCGTAATATGGCCGCTCCTTGACTTGGAAGATTGCGCTTATGTCATCTAGCTGTACATAATAGTTAGTAAGCGTTCGGGAGAGGTTAAGGTCTGAACATACATTGCGCTCAGTAAGCCTCGAGGAGGACACGAAGGGCTTCAGTGAGACGACGATGGCGCCTTCCTTCAAATCAAGGAACTTAGGACGCAAAGCTTCATTGACTGGGTTCATGGCGAATGAGCATTATCATCGGCACGGTGATGGACCCTCGCACTCACGCGGTTCCAAGAACACTTTGTTATTCACGAGCACTACGTCCGCCTGCGGGACCAGCTCGTCCACCTTCCTGCTCGTCAGCATATCGCCCTCCTCCAGCTCCACCTCACCCATCTTGACGCCCCACATGCGGCAGCGTATCCTGATTTGCTCGAGCTGGCTGCGCGCAATCTTGGCCGGCGTCGGCATAATCTCGATACCAAAGCTTTTGCATCCTGTCTGCAGACTTGCCTGCAGCACAACGTTACCCACGCCGGAGCCAAGGTCGACGAAGAGCGAGTCCGGACCGAGGCCCGTCTCGTTGATGATCTGCGAGACAAGCGCCGGCATGAGCTCGCCATACACCTCGGAGGAGAACGCTTCGTAGCGCTTCAGCTCTGCAACATGCGGTCCGACGGCACGTTGGTACGTCTCGTCAACGATGCGCGTGACCACCTCTTTCGGAATGTTCGTCCATGACTTCACGACATCCGGGAAACAATTAGGCGGAGGCGATTCAAAAGGATCTGGGGGAAGCGGAGGATACTTGAGCAGCCGGAGGAGAGCATTGATAGCCTCCATGACCTTTATAAAAAGCGGCCCATCACGCTTGTTGATGGCGCGCTGGAGTAAGCGGAGATAATTAACGGTCGGTGCAGCAGTAGGTGAGATCTGAATAGCGTGATGCGATAGATTGGTGATTGACGAAAGCGAAGCGATGGAAGACACTGATGATACAGAAGTTATGGAAGTTGCAGATGAGTTCGACGACGCGGAACTTGAGGAATCCGTAGAAGAATCCGAGGAAGATGATGCAGGTGAAGAGGCGACAGAGAGTGCAGATGGAGGCGGGAATAATGCGGTTGATGCCTCTAGAGCGGCCTCCGTCAATGAAGCAGGTCCAGGGATATCGTCATCCGCCAGATTACTCGATGGTAGCGTTCCGAACCATGATTGTTGGATAGGAGTCAAATAATCTGCAGAACGATTGTAGGTAGATGCAGAAGGGGAGTAAATAGTTCTTACGTTTGTAGATGGTATGCAATGTGTTTTCTAGACACATAATTGGGTTATAGTGATCCTTGTCCTTCGGGACCAGCAGAGCGAACCTGGACTCAGTTAAGATACGAAGAATGTGAAGGCTCCTTGGCACTTACTTCTCGCTTGCACCACTGTTTGGGTATTCTAGTTCTACACTAGGGTATATCGTAGGATGCACTTCAAATGAACGATTGTCGGAATCGTCAGGATCGCGAAAGTCTGAATTTATCATAGTCAAGCTACTCGTTTTGGCGCACATATTACGCAGAACGTACATGTTTTGTAAGTTTTGATCAGATCTTGTACGACACTCTCCGAACTGAGGAACGCAGGCCCAGGCTTTCCATGCTCATCCACCCAGCAGTCTCGCGGCCTAAGCGCGGCGGTGGGAAAAACGGAAACCGAACGCGAACGGCTTTTGCTGCTACGCAAGACGGGCATCGGAGATGGTGCGAGAGAAGGTTGTCGACTTGGACCTGAAGATCCGAATGACGGCGTAGGACTAAGGGCGCGCGACTTCGCAGGCATCTTGGATGCAGAAGCAGACGAGGATGCACGCGCCCGTTTTGCCTTGACGGGTAGCTCATTGAGCTCGGAAATTTTGCGTTTTCTTTTCTCATCAGTGACCAGCGTTGAGGGAGAAGGAGAGGGTGTGGCAGATCGAACAGTGACCTTGACAGCGCCAACCCTCGGATCAGGTGTCCGCTGCACAGGTCGCTGGACCGCAACCACGCGCGTCGTGGTTGTCTGCACAGCGATTGACGCGCCTGCCTTCGAGGACTTTGACTTTGAGAAAAAGTTGAGGTCGGAAGACGAGGGGCGGGCGTTCATCGCGGTAGGAGCAAAAGAGCGCGTCCCCGCCACAGCAGACACCGGAACGCTGTGTTCCACGTGAGTTGCCCCTTTGGGCCCAAGCAGTTCTCACTCACGTGGCCGGTACGAAACGAGTGCCGCCACTGCCCGCCACTTGTTTCAGAGTGCGCTACAATCACTTTCACAACACTCATATGAGGTACAGCCTTTCAGCGTATGTTGCTTTCCAATGCAGCATAGGATCTGGGCGAGCACAAGATTAGATTAGATCGGGGACAAATGCACGATTAGATTAGATTGAGTACAAGCAATGCCAAACAATCTCGCCCGGTGCAGCAAATTGTGGCCCAAAAGTTGTCTTGGTCTTAGCTTGCTCTCCTCGCCATCTAGAACGTGCTGGCTGCACCGCCGCTTGTCGAGAAAAGTCGGACTGGCATAATCACCAGCTGTCTATCATTCCAGCTGGTTTCTCTGTTTCAATTGGTTTCAATGCCACACTCAATCGAAGTAATGGTCGAATCTTCCGTTACTCATTCTTTGGAGGACTCCGCGGTGGTCAAGGTCAAGAAGCCCAAAAGATCCCCGGAAAAGGAGCGTCATAAAGAGGAGAAGCGAAAACGTCGTGTCGAGGCCGTTGGTCTGTATGTGTGTTTTCTCAGTGTTTTGCCACATTGATGAAAGTATTCAGCCACAGAAGACACACCTGGAAGAAAACACAAGAAGAAGAGCAAATATAAGGATGTAGAGAGCGATGCGAGATCGGGTGAGCAGTGAGCACGAGTGACGTGTGTTATCTGCTCACATGTCTCCCAGAGACGGCTATTGACCCTTCCAAGACCGAGAAGAAGAGGAGAAAGCGGGAACGAGAGGGGGAACAGGAAGATAGTCAAGCTTCTCGGTCGGACGTACCCAAGAAAGATAAGAAGAGACGCAAGAGAGATGCGGAGGCACCAGAGATTGAAGGAACTATTGCAGAGTCTGTTCCCGACGTTGCCACGCCCAAAGAAGAGAAGAAGAAAAGGAAGAAGATGGAACTCAAAAAGACTGAAACGTGCAGCGTCGGAACGAGTGAAGAGAAGAAGGCAGAGAGCACTGCCGCTGGTGCTCCAGCACCATCACAAATTAGTGCATTTCTCACTAAGCATTCCGTGACGATCCACATGCCCGAGAATGCAGGGAAAGTCATCCCAGTGCTCTCGTTCAGACAGCTCGACATCCCATCTGAATTGCATTCTGCTTTCACCGATTTCACCGAGCCAACACCAATTCAGGCATGTTCATGGCCTCCGGCGTTGGAGGGTCGCGACGTGGTTGGTATTGCGGAGACTGGGAGGTGAGCCCTGACGCTGCCCCATACTCTACAATATCTAACGCAGTACGCAGTGGTAAGACACTTGCATTTGGCCTACCCGCGCTCGCCCGTCTTGTTTTGTCGCCAGCTCCACAAGGGAGGAAGTTCAAGGACACAACGACCGTCTCCGTGCTCGTCATGGCACCCACACGCGAGCTGGCCATCCAAACACATGAGACTCTTGATAAACTTGGCGCGCCCTTCGGCATCGCAAGTGTCGCGGTGTTCGGTGGCGTCGACAAGGGACCACAGGCCAAGGCGCTGAAAAACGCTAACAAGAACGGCAAGACGACGAAGATTATCGTCGGCACTCCCGGGCGGATTCTTGACTTGGTGGGTGATGGCGTGTGCGACCTGAGCCAAGTCACGTACTTGGTTCTGGATGAGGCGGACAGGATGCTGGACAAGGGCTTCGAGAATGATATCCGGACGATCATTGGATACGCGAAGCAAGGGCCGGAGCGACAAACTCTCATGTGCAAGTCGCACCTCCTTTTTTGAGTTAGATCTTTCTTGACATTCGTTACAGTTAGCGCGACATGGCCTGAGGCGGTGCGGAGACTAGCGGCGTCGTTCCAACGGGACCCGGTTCGAGTGACTGTGGGTAGTGATGATCTGACAGCCAACAGTCATGTGGAGCAAAGTAAGTCGCACATCTCCGCATATGAGCAACTTCTGAGAATATGTTATTCAATAGTGGTTGAGGTCTTTGACGACGCTCGCTCCAAGGAGTAAGTCATCAGATCAGCGTTCCTTCGACCCCCCGCGCTCACGGTTGTACGCAGCTCCCGCCTTCTGGGCCACCTACGCAAGCTCTCCCACAAGAAGTCCGGTTCGCCTGAGGACGCGCGCATCCTTGTGTTTGCGCTCTACAAAAAGGAAGCTTCGCGTGTCGAGGGCATGCTGCGCAGTAAGGGTTACAGCGTCACTGGCCTGCACGGCGACATGTCGCAGCCCGCGCGCATGGAGGCGCTGCAGAACTTTAAGACGGGTGTGACGGGCTTGCTCGTTGCGACAGACGTCGCGGCGCGGGGACTTGACATTCCGAACGTCGCGGCTGTGATCAACTACACGTTCCCGCTGACAATTGAGGATTACATTCACCGGATCGGGCGGACTGGTACGTGCTTCTTGTCTCAAGGTTCGCGAAATGGCTGATTCGTGGCGATCTTGGCATCAGGCCGTGGAGGGAAGAGCGGCAAGTCCATAACGTTCTTTACTGGAGATGCTCATGAGCGTGCTCTTGCTGGGGAGCTAGCCCGAGTACTCCGGGATAGCGGCTTCGAGTGCGAGGATCTCAAAAAGTTTCCGATGACGATCAAGAAGAAAACGCACGGCGCGTACGGCGCCTTCTTTAGAGACGACATTCCTGCACCTACTGGCCCTACGAAGATCGTCTTCTGAAGCCTCTTTCACTGTTCCTAATCGAATAGATTTTTTCTACACACTTATTCATGACGTTGGACGTCGGACGTTTGCTGGGAGCGGTGCTCGCGTAGTGACAGTGAATTTCCCGTCAGTAGTTTACCACGCGCAGGCTTAGGATATTGCAAGCATCATAGATTATTGCGACGAAGGCAATCTATCGTCGTGCATTCGCGCCCGTTAGATACTCTTTCCGCCCAGTGCACGTTTTTAGAAGCAAAGTGATGACGCATTGGTGTCCTCGTTGTGCGATGACAAGCTACACACCTCTACAACAAACGTACAACAGTCATACCATTATCAATATCCAATATACAGAACGATACAGAGCGGAGCTGGGTTCACGACGTGGAGTAGGGCATGCAACATGAATGTACAGATAATGGTCCGACCAAACTAATCGTCGTCCTCATCGCTGTCGTCGGCTTCATCAAGCCACTAGAATACAATTGATGAGTGTGGGTATTACGATAGTAAAACGTTGAGACTAACCTTCAAGAAGGGCTCGCTGGCTTTGCGAACCTTCTTGCTCGTGTCCCTGTCGACGTACTTCTTGCTGACGTGTGTGCCCCACTGCTTCACAACATCCTCCTCGAGAATGTCTGCCTGATAAAACTCCATGAGGATTTTCGGCACCGCAGCGATGAGGTCGGGGTGAGTTACGCCCACGAGGCGCTCCATGCCTCCGAGCAAAGATTTCTGATGTTTCTCGGAGGTGACCATCTATTGGGGTTAAACGTCAGTCATTGTACCAGAGTAGCGACAGATAGATACTGACCTTCTTGAAGAGAGGCGCATACTGAGGAATCTCGGCAAGTATATCGGCAGTGAACAGTACTTGCATAAGCACTTGTACAGATTTGTGCTTCTTTGCGATGCCGAGCTCGTCAGCCTTTTTGTATATCTCAACAGGGCCGCTGTCCCTGTTCTCCTGAACCCAACGCCCAAGCTGAGAATAGGGACTATCGACGCCTTCATCACTATCGTCATCCCCACCTGCAAGCGCAACAGCCGCCATGCTGGACTCAACGGCCTTAACACGGGCCTTCACAGCTTCGGCCGAGGTGTCAACGGACCAGTCTTCCTTGGTAATAGCGACAGCATCCGGGTTGAGCTCCGCCGCTTCTGCCTTGATGCGCCTGGTAAGTTCATCGTCGCTTTCGGCGTCAGCGTCGGCATGAGCATCGCCATTCCCATTCTCGTGACCGTTAGCGCCAGGGCTGGGGCTGCCATCGGCAGAGGCCTTCTTCGCCTTGGTCTTCTTCGGATTCTTCGGCGGGTTCTTGATGATGAAGGTGGTGAGTTTATGACGCATGTCGACGCCCGTACGTTCGCCACACGCCTTGCAATCGCGGACGATCACGTCGTTCTTAGTGATGATGAGATCCGTCTCGGGATTCTTGCACGCCTTGCAAAGCACAAACTTTTCGATGAAGCCGTCGAGAAGCTCGCGCAGCTTAGCCGCATCATGAGCACCATTGACAATGTAGCGATCGTTCTTCTCGTCGAAGGTTGTCTGAGCACCGAGTTCGCAACCAAAGTACTTGGTAGGATAAGTAGGCGGTCGGCTCAGCGCCCGAGCGACGTCTGACATGTTGGGGATGACGGTCTTGATACCGTTGCCCTTGCCTTCAATCTTGGTCAAGAGGACGGGCATACTAGACGGTAAACAGTCAGCAAAGGCATCAATAGAGCATGTGGACATTACCAACCGGTAGCGGTAGAACTTGTCGTCGACATCACGACGAATATTTACAACACCGGCAGCCATGTTGGGCGATGTTTAACGCTAAAGAAGAACGAGTGTATGTCAAAATCAGATGAGTAGCACTGAGCAAGGAATTTACTGACAATACTAAGTGTTTTGGAATGCAACGGTCGTTTGTGTCTCGATATACAGATTGGAGGTCGAAGCATGTATCCCCTGTTAGTACAGAGAACAGCAGCTGGTAATGAAGCGTTGGACGAAATTGTGGAATGCACGACGGCGAGCGACGAGATGCAAAAAATTTCCAGGACGTGCGATGTGGACGAAGGCAAGTCGGGAGCCACCGCCTGCCCCAAAGTCATTCGCCTTCGGGCTTTGCCGGCGCTCATGTCCGGCAGAGCTGACTCAGCTCCACGGCCGCATCGCATTTCCTTTCATTGGATCGGATGACCTCCTTTGCTTCATCAGCACGGCGCGTATCTAATCCGAATGACCAAAAATGATTGTAGCCTCATTGCAACTTCGTCAATTCATTAGTAATAAGAGACAAGGTATACGGCACATAAGAGCGCGAGTGTACGTCAAGATCTAAAGAGATAGTTAACAAGTTCAGTCACTACCCGAACATTCACGCTGTTACCAATTAGTCGGTTTTTCGTCTTCATCGACAAGTTGTTGGGCCAGGAGAACGTTTGCTTTGCCTGCTCATCGGTAGAGGGCTCAAAGCAGAAAATCCGCAGCAGCTCGCTGGGTGAGAAGTAGCGCAGCCGTAGGGGGTCTAGCATGCGCACGGCATCTTTTTCACCGCGACCCTGTGCCACGAGGAAGCGGTTAAAGACGCTCGTTGTCTGCATGGCCGAGGATACTTGTCAGAGGATGCAGAAGAATGGAGGCCGAATCCGCAACCACTGACATCAAGCTCTTCGTTCATCTGAAGCACTGACCCCGAGCGTTCGGCCATCTTCGCATATCCTGGCTACTTTAAGCACGGAAAGAGCGTGGAAGTGCGATAATCAAACTCACCCCGAGTGAAGCAACAGCTGCGTCTGGAGAACGGCAGAATAATGTCGAATAGCCGTCCCCATTTCGCTAAGACGTGATCCGGGACTGCGTTAGGATGGATATCACCCTCCGTGCTATGAGGATCTAAATACTGCCGGATTTCTTTGACTCCAGTGCTGTCTGTTTTTGGCTGATCCGAAGTGAACCTCGGGTCAATCCAATCCTGCCCGTGGCCAGGTATATGACGCCAGATTTCTGACGTATTTGGTCCATGCACATTTGCGAAAGATGCGGGGTTGAGTTTGGCGAGAAGGTAGTATCGCAAGCGAGAGTTTGGAATTCCGAATTGTAGCGGTGTCAAAAGCAGCTCGAGCACGGAATAGTCGAGGGAATCGAGCGTGGCCAGCAGCCGTTGCCTTGTGCTAGAACTCTTTGCAGGCCATTTGTTCAGAACAAATGGTAGGTTAGAGGCGAATGGATAGGTACCTCAAATCCGGCTACGTTCTCTATGAGCAAGTATTTCGGTTGACTCCGTGTCTTGGCCATCTCTGGGAGAACGTTTTCCATTAGGCGAATGAAAGACTTCGCGCGGGGATCTGCGGCATCCTTTGCAAGCGGGTTGAGTACAGTGTACGGTTGACATGATGGAGACATCATCCACAGATCCGCGCCATATGAAGTCAGCTCTGTTGCAGACAGAGTCGAGATGTCCACCTATTCGACAGATTGTGAATCAAAGGGTCGCCGTGAAGGGCGGGCTGGTGATCATACCTGTCGCACAATTTTGCCTCCGTAATTGGCTGCGTAGACACGACAGGCACACTGGTCCCAGTCGAACGCACGCACGATTATGCCATCGATATCACTTTTCGATAGAGCGCGATGGAGGCCACCTGCTCAAAAACTGAGTACAAAGTGAATGCATCTTCATTCCGCACCGTGCTGCTGCGCTTATACCTATGCCAGAGTAAAATTCGAGTGCTCTGGTAGTCATACAGAGAACACTCTGCTTGCTAAGACACTCCACCGTATATCGGAGTTGCGCGTAGTAAAGAATAACGGCGCGTGATCCTTAGCGCGAGCGGTGATGTGATAGTTCAGTCGGCGCCTCTGAAGCGCCTGTCAAACATTACCGTAAATTGATCTGGAAGTCCATTTTGATGTAGTTCGAGACATCAAGAGGTTGGACTGGGGAATTTCCACAACGACGGTGCAGTTCACTCCAAATGACCATGCGCACGCGGAAAGCAAGAATTGTGAGGTCTGCGACTGAGATGCAATCTTGTTGATTCACGAAAATTCAACGTCCGCGGCTCGCCGTCATTAGGAGGAGTTCAACGAGGATTACCTAATCTTCTCCTGTTCCTCCTTGTGCGATACATCCACGACTGAGGGCGTCCTGCTCCCCAGTATCCGCTCTATTTAGTGCTTGCAGAGTCTTGCGATTGTCAAATCGCTGTTCTGCTCGCTTTCGTGCTTCGGCGATTTCGATCAGACTCCTCAGTTTGCTAATTTATTGCCTCTGGCCTCTGGCATTCGACAAGCTACCAACTGACCTGTCATGGCTGCTATTTACGACGAACCGAACTCTCTGAATGATATGACTATGGACATGACATCGTCATCGCAAACGTCTCCGGGGTTGTTCGATCAACCACCTACTATCGGTGGTGTGGGGGAACAGACGTGGTCGATGCCAATTGCCACGGGTGGGTTAGAGCTAACTACGCCTAGAAAGAGGTTCGTTCGCTTCTTCGTCTTTCCATTGATGCTTGTCATACTCAAGAACCCAGTCCTCCTCGGCATGACCCGTTCGGCTCAAGCCACAATACTCATTTGCCGACTCCGCAGAGGTAAGTCGCTCATGTCCGATTCACGCCGCGCATCTGTCGCCGGCAGCCCCTGCTCGTGCTGTGACAACGCGCTCAGTGCAGGTTTCAGCGTGTTGTGGCTCTATAGACGCTTACACATCTCGTGTAGCCCAGGGACTGCCGGTTCCTACGTTGCTGGAAGAGCATATCTACCGGAGTCACCTATGCCACAAAGGTGTGTTCCTCCTTACGATCATTCTGTTCAACCTCATTCAATCTATTTAAGTTTTCATGAACGCCTGCCAGCTCCGCAGTTTATGCCACATCGGTCGCTGAGGTGAGCGCCTTGCTGCCGCACGCTGAGCAATGCTGACGCATCGTTCAGCAGAGTGGAAGAGCATGTGGCAGCGTCACAGTCCTTTATCACGCCTGACTCAAGGTCCGTTTAACTCTTTGATGTCGCTCGCTAACTCTGACCTTAGTTCTAGTCCCTTCCTGCCTCGGAGAGACCTGCAACTGCCCAATGGCATGGCGCCTGCAGCGTAAGGATCTCAACAACTTCCCTGCATACCTGACTAATTGTGCGACAGTTTGGATTCAGCTTCGATTCTTTCTTCACCATTCGCGATTGGATCGAACATCCAAATTGAGTGCGTTATGTCGATTGTTTATCGATATCTCGGCTTATCTGCCGATTTCTGTAGAGGGAAAGAAAGTGTAGCTTCAGCATCATCTACTGGACAGCACACTCCTCCGTCGTCACGCGAGATGACTCCATATACAACGCTGTCTTCTCCGCCCCTGGGTCGCCTGACGCTTGCTGATCAGTCCATGCCCAAGAGTCATGCCGTATCGACGTCGTCTACCACATCAAGCAATGCCTTGCTGTCGACTCCGGGATGCGGTGACGATTTGTTCTCGCCTGATTCTTCTAGCCCCAAATCGCCACCTTTGCTGTCTGCACCGATCCCTCAGCGGGCTATCGGGGGCGAGGTACAGCGTATGCGTCTGCAGTTGGCCACAGACCAGGTCGCACGCAGCTATGAAAAAGAGGCGAGGAGGCCTGATTACCTCGTACGACGCCCTCGCTCGCCCCATGACCAACCCAATGGCGACTCGTTGGATGCCGACGATCAGGTGCCGGGCTTCGGGGTCACGGTGAGCCCTGTCAAAGGCCGGAGGATACAGTTGTTTCAAGAGACATCCGAAGAAACCTTTGAGCAGAGCCTCTTAGCGGGTGGCTATCCAGGCTATGGGTCAACTGTTGTACCTGATCCGCAGACACCTATAAGCAAAGGTGCGAACGGCTTGTCTCAGCGTGCTCTCCAGTGGCTGCAGCAAGCAACACCGGGTCAACCAGGTCCATCAAGCTTGACTTCGGAGCCGGACACCGAGTCGGTGCCATCTGAAAAGGAGTTGCTTAAGCGCAAGCGTTTGGCAGCCTTCCAGCATAAGGAGACGTCAGCGCCTCCTAGCAAAATGCTTGCAGTTGAGATGGAGGGCAGAGGTAGAGTCCTAGTTCCCCCGGAAGAGACCCCTGCTCAGCAAGAGTCACCGAAGAAGCGGAGCTCTCGGCGCAAGAAGCGACGTGGCGATCACGCAAAGCGCGGTTTGCTTGACTTGCGACTGGAAGAGCGAGAGATCAAAGGGCCAAACTGGTTGGATTCGGCATTTCCTTGGTGTATGCGGCTGCAAGAGCGCGATGAGATGACGCGGATGGAGGAGGAAGAACGTCTCAAATGCATCGAACGCTATCTGGAACGTGACAGCGACAGCGACAGTGAGGAGGAAGATGTGGTGGAAGACCAATCATTACAACCGGTTGTACGGTCTCATGATGACGACGTTCTGCCTCCACTGATGAAGAAGGGACGAGGGAAGGTGGTTCCTCTCAAGAGCAACTTGCATGTTCGCGACCCTTACACTGAACGAGGCAGTGTGGTGATTCCGAGCGATCCTGCAGATGCCAGGGCGGCGTTGCTGTCAAAACGTTCTGTGCGGGCATTGGCGGCGCGTAGGAGACGTGAAAAGGCAGCCGCGGAAGAAGGCGAGGATGACGAGGCAGTGCTTTGCCCTTGTAGACGTGGTGACGACGGACGCCCATTGGTTCAATGTGATGATTGTCATACATGGTATCATTTGCAGTGCGTCGGCATTAAATCTGCAGAGGAGCTTGGCGAGGAAGACGACCCATGGTATTGTTCCGCATGTCTCGGGGTCGAGCTCGCGGCGCTTGCGCACACTGAACCCACCTTTGTACCGACCGACGAACGGCCGGCAATGGATGGGATTCGCGATCCCCTATTGTATCAGGGCGCTCTCCAGGGGTCTCCGAAGACACCATGGAGCTCTAGCCGACGTCCTAAAACGCCCTCGCGGAGTCGCGACTCTACATCCACATATCACTCCCGCACATCATGGGGAGGAAGGACCGGAGGGCCTTCCTCTACGCCCAACACGTCTGCGCATAGCGCGCGAGTGTACACAACTCCAGGCCACCAGTTCGACTCACCATTTGACCCCAACAACACGCCGTCGCGTAGCAAACACGCATCGTATACGACTCCAAAGGGTGGCATTTGGTCTGGACGGAATGGGGGCCCACTACGCACCGCAAGTGACGCCTGGAGACTAAGTGGAGGCACACTCACCTTGTCAAACTTTGATCGCTACAACAATCTACCCCCCAACAGCCCGTACCGTAGTATATATTCCCACGACGACACGCCCATCCGCCGTGCTGCGCCGAGGGAGCAGCCGCGTCCTTTGCTTTATCGGAGTCTATGGGATTCGCCAGGTGGTTCGCGATTTACGCGGGGCGCTCTGCGTGGTGATGGCATGGTGGTCGACGAGGATGAACGCGCTCTGAGGAATGCGCCGATGATGGTGCAGGAGCACGACTGTACGTCGTCCTACGTTAGTGGTCGATACATGCATTAACGGAGCTCATCACAGCACCTTAATCCATGCCGTCGACGCGATCTACGACGCGTAGAATTTCTTGATTTGTTCTAATATGCTAGGTTTTTCTCTTGCTGAGTGCGATGTATGGTTTGACGGTTTGTAGTGTAAAGTGCAACAAGGACCATGTTCGTACCTCACGCGTCTAGTCGCGCCAATATATGTGCGTCCCGAGCCCAGCGTTGGGATGGAGCGAGCAGATATGTAATTTGTGCGAGTCATGCTAAGGGAGGAGTGGGAAGAGGTAGAAATCGAAATGCAAGAGCAACAAGACGCCAAACGCGACGTGACCAAATGTGACGAGACGCGTCGTACCGTCACCATGGCAATTAGACGCCGCTCGCGCATACATCCGAGTCCACCGCAAAGTTGGGCGTATCGGCAGCTGTTCTCTACATCGCTTACTGACCATGACGACTACTGATACCCTCTCACAATCAAAACTGAACTTTGCGCGAAGCATCAGAATCGCAATTGTTCTCATGCTCCTCGAAGTGTTACTTGGTTTTCGCTAATTTTCCGTGCCTTAGGCGTTGGCTGCTCTCCGTTTCAAGCCTGCTAAGCAGTCGTATGAAGGTAGGTTAAGCAACGAGAGAATTATGGTGTTGAGTTTTAAAGTAACTTTTCAGCTTACGTTCTCGACCTTCGTTCAAAATTCTCTCCCGACGAGACGCAGAGAAACGAGGATTGGCGCGAGCGCGCGCTTACCCTCGAGCAAAGCTTGAAAGCATTAGAGACGAAGTACGAGAAAGAACACGCAGGTAAGCATGCCTGCCTGTTTATTTAGGACCATGTGAGACTTAGACTCCATGAGAACTGCAATGTATGCGAGAGGCGCAATCGGGTGCGAAGACATCTGCGGAGTCTGCCGCAGCTGGCCAGAGCAAATCAAAGAAGAAAAAAGCGAAGGGTCAAGTTGATGCTCCAGTTTTACACCCGAAACCGGAGCTCAAGACCTTGCTAGGCGGAATGAATGCTAGTGCGTCTTAGCCATATCTAACCGCTGGAAACGATTTGTACGGAGTTTCTCATATACTATTCCGTGAATTGTACAGAGATCAACCTCGCGAAGTTGTCTTCAACACCAGATCTCCTATCCACCTTCGAGACTCTTGATATGCTTGTATCTAGTCGGTCTGGCGAGAGTTCTGCCTCTGCTATCATGGACGAATCTCTGGCAACATCGTTGAGACATGCTGTCGACTCGCTTGGTAGTCTGCTCACATCATTACTTCCTCCAAACCCTGTTACTGCTGGTGCCGTCGATGCTCTGGATGCTGCTGCGACCTTGATACACAGGCTACTCATCGTAGCTCTCTCGCTGCTGGTCGGGACCCCTCAAAAGCAAAAGATTAAAGCTACTTCGCGCTTTTCCATCGTAGAGGACACCTTAAGGGTTCTAACGGAAACTATCCTAGTCCCTGCAATCCGAGCCTTCAGGCCTCTCTCTAGCGCACACTTATCGGTGCTATTGGCGCCTCGCGCGAAGAAGAAAGTTGCCACTAAGCTTCCGTCTGATATTCGCCCGGATCTATTCTCTCTCCTGGATAGGACGATTTCAGCTCTGGAGGAATTCTCCAGCCTTGTGACTCGTCGGGCTGCTGTGATATTCACCATTCGCACGGTCAAGCAAGTTGTTGCTTTAGAGACAGTCCGTGAATTGCAAAGACTATATGCGGGCGATCATGCATCAGGATCCGACGCTAACAGCAAATCCAAATCCACGCTCCACGATGCTCGCGTGTCTCAAACGTCGGAGCGCATGGAGTCATTGATAAGAAAGGACACACTGTGGTACCTATGCAATGTTCTCCACCTGGTGCTACCGCTCGGCGCTGGCGCCTCGGTTCCGACGCCGCAACGCGACCAAGATGAGCTCCTTGACGACGCCATATTCGGAGCGCTATCGAGCGTATTGAGGCGTACTCGGACAACAGCCCACTTCGAAGGTGGCACTGCGCCACCTGGGAACATCATCGACGAGGGAAGCAGGAGAGGGACCATCGAACGCCCGACACCCGACATGGGCGACGTGGAGCGTGGGGTGGTGCTTGCCCTTGCTGAAAGGGTCTGGCTCGGGAGATGAAGGCAGCCATTGAAGCAGAAGGTGCGCGCGCTCCGCGGGCCGCCGCCGTTAACTACGTTCATGATGACGCCGCTCACATCGGACATTTCGGCCAATAGGACAGCGCAGCGCTCGTCGGTGAGCTGCATCGCGGGCGTCGTGTCGTAACAGCGCGCCTGCGCTCGGATTGTTGCGAACGACGGTACCTGTGGCCATGGGCGTGCTCATCTTAACTGTATGCGGCTAGTATGGATGTAGTGCTAGGCAGGGTATGATTGCCGCTATATGTGCTCTGCTGGAGTTAACAACGAATGTGATGGCCGTGAGGCCTCCGAACTGCATGATCAGCTCATGTCAAGACGGTCAAGCTCAAGCTGGGTTCCTGTGCCACTGCTCTCTTACAGCGCATTATGGTAAGTGCATCGCTGCAAGGCGACGATTCTCGAGGTGCTCCGAGCTTCAGATGTGCATGAACAACCATCTCAAATAGAAGATTGCCGAACACATAGCTAGCGTTGCGGAGCTATGGACTTTGCGCTTGACATACAGGCACGGAAAGTCCTATCGCACCGGCGACTTCACGGTTTGATTGTGTATGGTTGCTATGGCTCTTCGGCCTCATAGGTCTCGGTGTTCACGGGCTCTTTTGGTAAAGCTTGCTAGCCATGGAAGTGCTGTCACTAGCGTCGCGGGATAGCCCCGCCCGTGTGATCATCGACAGATTCAAATCGAACCTGCGGGCAAAGTGCGGGCAGATCTAGCGGCAAGCCGAGCAAACTCAGTTCAAAACTACCGCTCGGTGGGACAGAGATGTGCCCCCCACACTGACTTCCGAGTGGTTGAGAAGTTCCGTATGACAGGGACGTGTCTCCAGCGCAAGCTATATCTGTAGCCGAACTTACGAAGCGTCACATCCTTTCTGTTACGTTTCATTTGAAGCACGGGGCCGCCCCCCTTGTTGTTCCTTACGAAAGTTCCAGGCTTCGTAAACTACGCGACGCGAGTGACCCGAGAGAGCTTAACACACCGAGCGTCGCAGCTGATCAAATCTGTGTCATCGATTACTACTTTGTGGCCCGTTCGCAGAACAATCGGTTCTTTCCACGTGAAGATCTCGACAGATTGCAAGCCGAGTAAACAGAGGGAGGAACCTTGCTATGGCCAGCCAGAGGGCTGATGGTGACGATGCGACAAGGAGCACAGTTACCTCATTCTCTGTGACGTGAGAGCATGCAGGGTAGGATTCGCTTATGGGAATCCAGGTCCGCCCGGAAATGGGAGGGGCGATCAGATAACTTCCCAGCCCAAATCGCCGACGTTTCTTACGCTTCGGCTGAGGTTCTTTGGCGAAATCCCAAACACCTTTTGCCATGCGTCGCTGTGGCACCGAGGCTGCGCAGTGGGACACGCGTGGCCGCTAGTGGCAGTCTGTCAGCGCCGCGCACCCTTGCGCATCCTAAACATTACACCCCGCAGTGCCGACCTGAGGCCCGTGCACTGGCCTGTGAGGCCCAGTGCATTTGGCCTCCCGATGCCCGTACGGTTGAGGCATTGCCGGAGGCCATCAGGCGCGCGGCCAATGGGAGCCGCGGGAAATTGGGTATCCAATGGAAAATTGCAGGAATTCGGAAAAGTGCCTCGAGCTAAATGCCTTTGCCGAGGGCGCAAATCGAAATACCGGCAAATCGCGATGTCCTCGGCCCAGGGCGAAGCTTAATCTCCATCAAATCACGGATGCCTTCCGCATGTACAGCGCCTGCACCTTGCGGTCGACCGTACATAAGTATGCATCGCGGTGGCAGGGTCTTTCCCCGCCCAGGCGATTTCACCGTCGCATCTCCCCTTCTCCGCCCCGGATCCACCGCCCTTTCCCCTCTTCAAGGATGAAGTTCGCTTCTTTACTCGCATCCCGACTGGCAACGCGTTCCTCTTCCTTGTCCTTCTGCAGTTCGCAGGATGAGTGCGCGAGTGTATCGTCCTCGCAAGGTATGTGTGGCGAGCCCTGCACGTCCTCACACAGCCACTGATATCGTTCTCTGTCAAGGAATATGCGCATCCACGTCCTCAGAGAGCTCTTCATTGAGTACTCTCGATAGCCAGTCGTGTGCCTCGGACCCGGGGAGCGCTGAGCTCCCCGTCATCCGAAGGAACGAGCACCTCGCGGTGTTACTTCCCAAGCACTTATGGAAGGTGTGTTTCACTTCCATCTGCTAGCATCTACTGCAGTGCGTTGACATGTGATTGATGATCCTCGTTCTGCACAGCCTGACGCGCAGGCGTCCCACTGCGATATCTTCCTCTGCCGTAAGAAGTTCTCTATCTGGGAGCGGCGACATGTGCGTCCATCACCATCATGTTAGCTTAAGCTCCGTGCTCACCGCATCCTCATACATGTACAGCATTGTCGCAAGTGTGGTGGTGTCTTCTGCAACGACTGTTCTAGTCGTGCGACCACACTCCTCAACACTTCGAACCTTGAATTCTTCTTCCCCCCGCATGACATCCCCATCTCCACCTTCGGTTCTCCAACGTCACCGGTTGTCCTCTCCAGGGTGTGTGACCATTGTTGGGATCTCGTCCATGGCGTTAGAACGCCTCGTTCCCCTCCCCTAGGAGCAACAGCTTCCATCGCCCTTCTTCAGGATGCCATCCGAGAGTCGGACTCCTCCGCTTCCTCCATTATAGTATCCGCGCCTTCTACTCCGTCTGATCGCTTTGCTCCGGTCGCCCGCCCGAAGATGCGTCGCGCACACACCACGTCTCCACGGATCCCTTCATCTCCGCTTCGTTCGCCCGTTCGTTCTTTACAGAACCTCATCGTCGACGTTAATGTTGTCGAGCGCATTGAGAATGCGCCTCCGGTTTCAGCCGATTTCAGCGAGCTACTAGCTTATCCTCTGCGCCACCCGAGCGCGATTTGCAAAGCCAATGGAGGCGGTCGTTGGGAGCCGAAACAGGCCATCAATCTCATCGGGCCTCAGATACCTGGTGAGAAGGCGCCTCATGAGATCGAGCTCGAACGCGAGGAGGAGGAACGGAGAAGATGGAAGGCCAATCCGGTCATCATTGATGGAGGTGGGTTGTATCCGGACATTCTGTCCGCCGGATTGCTTACGATGTTTATGCAGATTTCAAGCTTCGAGTCCCTCGTGAGCCTGCGCCCCGCTCACCCGGCGGACCCATACAGTTCGCCACCTTCTGATCTGCCCTTTGACGACGCCGTCCTAATTATCTGTATATTATGCCTAAGTCTGCTCGCCCCGTATCTGGACGTCACTGCTCGTCGATACCTGCTCCGGTGTTACCCTGGTGGCCTGCTCTTTGCCTACTGCTGAACGTTCTTGTCGATACCATGTGCGCTGGTATAGTGTACCATCATGTCCCATAATGATCCCTGCCTGGCCATATTGTCCGCGCCACCTCCCTCCCGTAATCCCGCTGTTGTTGTTCTATTATGTACTTCATGTGTTGTAGTGCGTGTGTAGATTGCTACGTAGGGTATGACATTTATGAAATAGACTCAGCAATTCATGTTCACTTCAGTCGTGGCCTTTGAAGTCATGGCAATCGTATCGATGCAGTGTGTAACTTCGCCTCATGAGCCGAAATTACGCATCGCCAATACTTATAAGCAGCTTCGACACCCGAGTTACTCGTGCAACCGTCGGGAGCCTTTTCTTTTTCTGCCTGGAACGTGCGAGGCCTTTAGTGATATCAGAGAGTCGGAATATCGGGATGGCCAAAGATGGCCATCGCACAAGAAACGAACCACGTGGCTGTCATACTGACTTTTCGTCAAGTGCTGTCCAGCGACGCTTGTCCCTTCATCGACGGACACGGCGCGCTATATCATTCTCCAGCTTTCGTGATACCCCTTGCTACTCCGGTAGCATATAGCTGGCCCGTGTCCGACGACTTCTATACGGTAGCTCCGCTGGTGACTGGTTTCACCGATGGCGACGCAACACCGCCAGCAGTCGCTCGCGAGGCTATTCATCCCTCCCAATCTCGCCGCCCAGCAGCCGATTGCGTTCAATGAGCCAGGACCGATGTATTCGCCTGCCCTACCCACGTCGATCGCGCAGGGCATGCACCCGCCACCGTTCATGACTCCGCCCAATCCGCTCCATACACCGATGCAGGCCGGCTTCTTCCCGCACGCGCCTGGCGCACCTGGACGACCGCCGATGCACAGGAGCTCGCCGAGCGTCGCGCAGCTGGCCGCCGCGGGTATCCTCCCGCCTGGCATGCCAATGACTCCCATGGGTCAGAACGGCTTCCCGAGCCCGATGTTCGGCCTCAGTCCGTATGGTCCCGCCTTCGTCCCGCGGAGTAAACGAGCAGCGAGCATGAGCGTAGGAGGCCCTCCCAAGGCCGTGCTTGGAGGTCCGCAGCGCAAAGTGAGTCCGCTACCTCCTGCTGCCCCAGTTGCAACGCCATCTGCTCCCACGGCAAAGCCGAAGAAAGTGGTGGTGAACTTTCCGAAAGAGACTATACCAGCAGAAGGAGACGCGCCTCTGACGCGTCGACCGTGGGCGAGGACACCTCTGTCACCTTCGTCTATACCGGAGCAATCAGATGTCCCTCTTCCAGAGATATCCACCGCGGAGCTTTACCCATCAGATACGTGGAGGTACCATCTTCCGGCCACAATAGACGTCTATCTTCCTGGAAAGGTGAGTGTATGCATCCATTTGAATGCGTGCAGTCTCAAATGGCTTATTGTTTGTCTTTGATGTCCGATTCATTGCTGTATGCAGAGTACCTGGGCGGAAATTAAACGGAGACTCATCGAGGAGAAACTGGAGAGGCTAGGAGTCGAGCCGGGGTCGGGTAGCTCTGTTCCACACATTCACGCTCCTCATGCCAGAGCTGCATCAGTGAGTGATGCGCGTGTTGAACGCATTGCGGCGGGTGCCTGACCATATCACTCAGATATCGTCGCCTGCAGACCCTGCATTACTATACTTCAAGTTAAACAAGCTGCAGCAGTCACAGAAGGTGTCATCGCCTAACCCGCTGTCCGCATCTCCACAGCCTCCGTTTAATCTCTCGCCGTCCCCTAATTCGGTACCTCCGCGCTTCCAAGGCAGGCATGGACATAGCATGTCGCTGGCTCAACCCCCTTCATTCCAGCCACGTTCCCCTGTGTACAATCCTGCAGCCGCGTTCAACCCATTCGGCCCGAGTGCGACGCTTGGTTCAGATCAGATCTTCACCCACGTTTCGCCTGTGCCTGTGCCGACTGCATCTGTTTCTGTCGCGATCAACGGTATACACGCTCCGCAAGGACGCGTGCCGGCAAACCTTGCGACTCTGGTGCCTTCCTTGCCTTTATCGAGGCCGGAAAGTCGCCCCGATTTTATGCGTGGATTTGGACTGGACGTCACCAAGGAGGAAGAGGAACCCGAAGAAGAGCCGGTCACCCTCGCACATTTGCAGGAAGATACCGCAGAGTCGGTAGTGGTCGAAAGTGCCACGCAGGAGGATGCTGTTGATGCAGACCAAGATGGGACGAGCACTGTGTCACAAACCCGCATACATTCGCGACACACTTCACATCTGTCAGCTGCATTGTCTCTGCGCTCGGTAGGTGGTGTAGAAGGACCATCGTTCGGCGTGCATGGCGATGGGGAGGCGGAACCTGCGCGTGGCTCGCTTGAGACTGAGGGAGATGACGCGGATGCTGTCGGCGAGTGGACTGGCTCGGAGGACATGCGCACCGGCGCTGAGATCTCCGAAGATGAGGTTAGTACATACTGTTTGCTGTCTGAGGGAGTCCGTTACCAAGTTGTCTCCCGCAGAGCATTGGAGAGTGGTCTAACCCCTCGGACGAGGAGAGGGCGCGCCAGCAGCGCCTCGAGCGCCGCATACTCCGACGCGCGAAGCAACAGGCACAGAGAGACCCAGAGGTTCCCAGAAGATTACCGAACTTCCCGCGGCCGCCCGACATCGCGCCGACGTTCGTCGACACAGAGGATATTGTCTCGAACCCCAGTGAGGAGGGCCATGCCCATGCCCATGACGCTTTCGCGTTCGACCACAGAGCTCACTTCCCTCGACCCTCGTCTGGCGGGCATAGTCGGCCACTGCCACCTCTTCCTGAGGCCAGGCCCGGGTCTGCGCCCTATTCATATCATGATCCCGCGTTGGCGCACTCCAGGGAGGGTTCTGAACAGTTTGCACAACTCGGAGGACTGCATCCTCGTCCTTCTCAAGCATCTCCGCTGCATGCTGAGGCTCTCAATCCTCTTGCAAAGCCGTTCGTCTTCGGACAAAGTCGTGTCCTCAGCGTGCTCGCGGAGCAGGCTCCTCAGTCCATGATAGCTCCTACAGCTCCTGCAGCTCCATTGGCTAGTGGCCACACGCGTGTGCCCTCCATCGGCAAGCCGCTGAATGCAGCGGCACAGGAGTTCAAGCCTGTTGGATTCACATTCCGGCCGCCACCAGGAGTGCCTCAGCTCACCTTCACTGCATCATCTCAAGTCTCTCGTCCCTTGCCGACTCCACCGGCCGCCGCTATAACATCACCAGGTAAGGTGGCATCGGGCAGAGAAACACAGGGCAGGGAGAAGAGACAGCGTCGTGGCTCATTAGACGGTGAAGATGAGGATGGTGTGAGCCACATGCATTCATTCAAATTCCCATTCGACAATGCTCGTGCCGTGTCAGCACCTGTGAGCCCGCCTGCTAATAGGCTTGGATTGGAGGACTCCTCGGAGAGTGCGAAAGCGGTTACATTGCCGACTATCATGCACTCTCCAACTGATGATGTACCTGGGGATGAGAACAGACCACCTTCGGCAGGCTCAGTGACGGAAGGAGGGATGATCGGATCTGCGGAACTGCCGTTCCCACCCACGATGAAGCCTAAGCGGGCACCGATTCCTCTCGACTTCAAGCACCCTATATCAACAAACACTGTTCCTGCAGGTTTGTTCAAAGCCCTTGTCAATGGTGATGGCGATGATCGAACGCGTCGCTCAGTCCGTTCCAGGCTTAGTTCAAGGGATGTCTTCGAGCACAGCCCTCGTCCATCCCTTGACGACCTCAATGTCCCTCCGATCGCACACAGAACGCCACTTAATCGTCTGTTCACTGAACCAAGCTTCCGCGGTTCTTCGTCACGCCATTCATCGGCTACCCCGGATAGACCGCTGCACCAATCCCCATTGTCCCTCAGACGTCGCGATGAGGACGATGAAGACGATTTTTCGGATGCTTTCGATTTCCCTCCAGTTAACCTGTCAAGGCGCATTGAGATGCAGCAGTACGAGCAGAGGCTGCAGGACATCCTCGATAACAAATTTGCGGAGATCGAGCAGGCCTTGTCCGGCTTTAAAGCCTCCGGTGGCCAGTCGCTGAGTACGTCTACGGAAGCTATGATGTCAGAGGTCATATCATTGTTCCGCGCACAACTTCAAGATTCCGCGGCAAAGGGCCTGGAGGATAGTCAGATGATGGATGCTCGCGGAGAACTTGATCTTGAGATTCTTAAGGGCATCATCGACCAGAAGCATGCCGAATCGCGGGCACTACTACAGCGCGATATCAGCCAGATTCTTGATTCTCGTAACCAGGAAGCAAACTTGGTGAAGCTCGCTCAGGATCTGACAAACAGGACCGTAGAGACTGTCGTATCAGCCACATCTCAGTTAGGTCAACATCTACAGCATCTGGAGAGACCTACATCTGCAGTGGAAAGAGATACCACTGTGCGCGACGTCATAAATGCTCTTATGCCCCAGCTGGCTACCCTGCGCCCTGAACCGATCGATTACGAAAGTCTGACAGCACGACTCACCCAGGCTGTGAAGCCTCACATCTCCCAGCTCATTGACCTGGCTTCTGACAAGCGCGAAACGGCAGGCCTCATCGTGGACAGGCTTCTTCCTATCTTGCCTTCTCTGCTTAACCCCGAGGCGCAGTTTGATGCTGACGTTGTCATTACTAGGCTGACGGCTGAGGTCAGGAAGGTTGTTGCTCCTCTGGATGCTCATGAAATCAAAGAGCAAGTATCCGATCTGGTTGTTGAACGTCTTGATTCTCGACTTGCCGTAAGAGACCGAGCATTCAATGTGGATACCATTATTGAGAAGATACTGGAAAATATGCGCGAGCTACTGGCACCTGTACAGGAGATACAAACTGCCGTAGCTGAGTTGGGACGGAGGAGTCAGGAATCTAGTGAACCAAGCTTGGATCTATCGTCCATCCGTCAAGATATTCTGAACACCATATCTGACCTTCCTCAGCAACTCCTTTTCGCGAAAGAGGCGCTGACGAACGCTCAATTGGAACTCAAGAATCGGCTGGGGGACCAGACAGCGACTTCAACGGCGGCAAACGTTATTTCTCAGATCGAGAGTGTCATCCATGACATCGCCCGCGAACAGCAAGGCCTCATCTCCCAGAACAAGGAGCTCTCTGACTTCTGTCAAGAGATTGTCAGGCATATCGAGACTCTACCAGAAGCTATGCTGGAAGCAACACAGATCCTGCAGAATGCCCACGCGGATTTCTCTGCCCAGGGTGCGGCGCGTAGAGAGACGGAGGAAGTCAGGCGATTAATGGCAGCAAACGCAGACATGCAAGTGCAATTGGCGAAGGCCCGTGGAGCACATGGTCAGATCCGTGTGGAGAAGGATATGCTTGATGAGCGAATGAGAAATATCGAGTCGGATCGCGACCGGTTGCTGTCGAAAGTGGAAGAGTTGCAAGAATCTGTCTCCTCAAAGACTGCAGACGCGACGGCGGCGGAAAGCAAGAATGCTGAGCTGGAGGAGGCTCTTGCGCGTGCTCTCGAACGACTCAAGGCTGCTGATGTTCACGCGCAAACTAATTCTACACGTATCGCTCAGCTTGAAGCATCGAACCGTGATCTTGCTATCGAGAAGGAGCAATTCAAGTCACAGGTCAGTAATGCTTGTTTACGCTTTTTGCTACGGCCTAAATTTGATTTTTCGTGTAGTTTGAATCGCTTGAGCTACGCGTCACCTTTATCACTCGTGAGAAAGAGACCATTGCGGATGAGCTGTCCATGCAGCGGAAATATAATGAGACCCTCATATCGGAACAGAACCATTGGGATGAATTGCGTCGTGCATCAGAGCAGATACAGACGCTCGCCAACCTGGTCGGTCAAACTGATGGTGAGGAGCTTCAGGAATTGCGGCGCACTCGCGACCGCAGCAAGGTCATGGAGGGCGAGCATGCTGCCCTGCAACGTCGTCTGAAGGAATATGAGACGAAGATGGCGACGAACGAAAAGCTTGCTCAGGCATCTCGGCAGTCTTTGGCTCAGGCACAGCAACGCGCAGCCGAATGGGAGAAGCACGCAAAGGAATACGAAACCGAGCTGTCTATCGCACAAACGAAATTACATGACGTAGAACAGGCTCACACGCAGTTGGAAGCCGATTATCAATTAGCCAAATTGCATCTCGATGAGCGCGATGCTGAAGAGCGTCTGGATAAGGTTAGCCTCGTTCTGTGCGGGACGCATGCGTGTGCTCACCCCTCTCAACTCAGGATCGGCAGAGTAAACTGCGCGACCAAATCGCGGCTCTGGAAGCACAGGTTGCTCGTCTGCAGGCTGAGACCGATCAGGCGAAGAAGACTGCGGCAAGTGCTACATCTCTTCAATCAAATGCACGTTACCAGAACGGACACGGTCGAACGTTCATCCCGCCAAGGTCGGCGTCGCGCGCCAGTACAGTTTACGGCGAGAGTCGTTCTGGTACACCTAATGCTCATCTCAACGGTTCGCACGCGTCCATCACCGGGAAGACAACTCCACAGCCGTCGGTATGGGATTCCATCCATGCACCTCGGCCCTCAGGGCCCATCAGCATGCCACAGGCCAAGAGGTCCTCTTCATACTATCGTTCTCCATCTCCAACGCCAAGCAATGTCTCTGCGGCGCCGACATTGGGCGACGACGGCTGGTGGTCTTGATTGATTCTCAAGGAAACTCGTATTGGTGACATTTAGTTATTTTCGTGGGATCGGATTTTGGATTGCTCTCATTTTCACTTGCTTTCGCTGGCCGCCCTCTACATATTTATCTGCTCCTCATCTTTTCAGCTAATCTACCACATGCCTTGTCACGGATCTCGTTGTATATACCTTAATACGCGCATATGTTACTGCATCAGTTATCGAGGAGCAGTCTGCCGTTACATCTCGCCCTTGTCCATTCCTCTTGCTCGTCTTCATGCACAAATGATACCTCTGTTGTACACGTCTACTGCATCGCCGAATAAAATGCATTATGGTAGATTGTCCGGATATGATGAGCTAGAGATGAAACAAGCAGGGAGCAAACAATGGGATAACGACGTGTATCTATCAGTGTCGGGAATCGGGTGGTGGTGCCCAAATCCAGTTCCTCACCACCTCCACAGCTTCTTGAGGGTCCTCTGGCAACCTTGACAGAATGAACGTCAAAACGACGAATGTGGTCAGCAGAGAAAAGGACATACGTGATCTTAGGCACCCATCGGCCTTCCTTGTCCTGTCGGAAGAAACGTGGTATAAACTTCTCACCGCTCTCCTCCCGCCTCCGTCGGAGCTCGCGCTGCGACTCCTCTACCGCTGTCTTCGCCTCTGTCGCCGCCAGCATATCCTTCGCCACGATCGCCTGTGTCAGCTTCGCCCATAGCCTGAAACGATGTGTGCTGTCAACTACCGGTCTGTATGCACCACACGTGTGTCTACGTACCGACGCGATTCGTTGGGCTCCTGCTCGTCCTCTGGCGCTACCCACTTCGGCGCGATCTTATCGCCATCTTTCTTAACATCAAACAGCACGCGTCTCTCACCCGTCTGCCCTGCGGATGAGAGACACGAAGGAAGACGACAAAGCAATGCTATGCACCTTATTGTCCTTATACTCCATAACTGCACTCCATTTCCCAACGACTTCGCCCGTGTCTGCAGCCCCGTTGCGTATCCGCCCCTGAATCGCATTGTACGTGCCCGAGAAGTATCCCTGCAAGCGCGTCACGATCCGCAACAGAAAGACCGGGGGATTGGGCGTACCTTCGTCTTGAACGTCAATTCGGCGCAGATGCCGTTGTGATCATTCCGCGCAGTGCATGTGTCCCCAAGCTCGAGTATCATCTTGCCCCAGAGAATACCCCGCGCATACATGTTCGGCATTGAGATCACGTATGCTGCGCAATGTCAGTGGAGTGAAATACGCAGCAGGGGCAAGCGACTCACGACCATCCTCCGGGCGCCCCATGAGGTAGACGCGATTCTCGCCCTCCATTTGCGTCGACACGCTGTTTCCGAGGAACTTTGACTTGGGCCGCAGCTCGCTGACGATGCAGACCCGGTTTGCGGGGGAGACGTAGTAGAATGCGGAGACAGGTGGGTGGTGAGAGACTGTGCGTAAAAGGAGGCAGGAGGAATTTCATGAATATGCGCAAGATATCGAGTCGCTAGTCACGCACCTTGCTCAGAAATGTAGAAACCTTGTGAACCATCCGGATAATCATATCGACAGCGAAAGAACTCGCCGAGCACAGGATTATATCTATAGGCGATGAGATGTGGCGTATGCCTGTAAGAAATGGGGACGTACGGCTTCTTCACACCCTTCGGCTTGATGTGCCAACCAGCGAGGTAGTACCGCAGTACGCGGATGAAACGCTCCTCTGGGTCGTCGCAGTCTTCGGCACTGGGCAGTTCATCTGGCGTACAGCATTTCCTTTCAAGAGAGTCGGGGACGTACCCGAAAATGAGATCTGGATGCGACATGAAGTCGGTGATGCGTTCAAGCATGCTGCGTGGCTCCAGCACGAAAGTGGGAAATGTCACTTTCGAAAGGTCCATACCGACCCTGGAAGAAGTACGTTAGGCCGTCCGACATCAGCGCACATTCAGATGAGATAAGTGGACAGCGGGGCGTGTGCAATCCTCCAGAGACCATACGAGACGTGCCCACAGCTCACAAGCCTTAGCCCATTAATAACAGACGGTCCGGTACGCACCTGAGCTGTGAGATCAGAGACTTGATGATAGAGCCCTCCTCCTCATCCCTGAAGCATTCGACATCAAGACCATCGTCAGAGTGATGAGCGTAGTAGAACATGGCGAGGGTACAGACAGGATCGAGACATCATCTGGGTCTGTGTCGTCTGGCATTTTGTCCTCTACGGACGGCCCTCGTGGCCTGTGGACCTTGGAGGTCGCCTGGTTGAATAAGCCCATCATGGCTGTTGCACTGCAGAGAGAGAAGGGGGCGGATGCGGCGTGTACTGATCAGGCTGGATGTGGCAGACGCTATGTATGTAATCGCGCGTGCTGTGCAGGTAATGTTGGCCGTTGCACGCGCGGTCCGTGTGGGGGCGGTGCAGATCGCTGGCTCCGGCGACGAATGGCTAGATATCCAGCTGGGCGAGCAGGAGGTGGTGCACGAAAAGAAGAGAAAGAATATGTGCCGCCTGCGGTTAGCAGTGAGCCGTATATCCCTGGTGACGCGCTGCGCCACAGGTAGTATCCGTCTCCTCAATCGCTCCTTTCCGTGATCTGTTTCACCCATGTTCCGTGCTCTGCCTGATGCTACGCCTGAAACATCGCTCGTCTCCACATCGCTGGGGATGATACTCTGCTCGTATTTACGAGGAACATCCTCACGATGCTGGGATTGCAAGCAGGCCGGTTCAATCGTCCGGCATCGTCGACTGCATCATTCGGATTTAGTAAAGTACAACAAATCACTTGGCGTTCGGAATCGGAGCCGTGAACGCCAAACCTGCCGACGTGTCCACAGACGTATACAGCCGTCTGTGCACTGCAAGCAAACGTGGCATTACCTGGCGAAAAACTCGTTTTGGCCTCACTCTCTTGCAAGAATTTTCAGAGCGACTGTCAGTGTTTTTGAGTATATATATTTGGTATGGGCGAGTAAGACCATGCCGATATCTGAGATCAGAGATGAATTATTCAGGACGGCAGAACGCCAGTTTCACTGACTTGGTCTGAATGGGCGGACTAGAAAACCCAGCCTCGGATGGCATATCATAAGGCTGTTTCATCAGCATCGAATGGGGGGCCACGGAGAACGAAACGTCAGCTCAGAAAAATTGGGACACAAGAACGCAAGCAAATAACAAAATCTGTTTCTTTTTTCGGACACTGCAGGGACCATGCATGTGCAAAAGTGGTGTTTCCCATATGAAAGGAACTTCGGTCGTCTGCCACCATTGTCTCCTTCGAATTTCTGTACCCTGCTCGAATGGGCTGTACTCCATCTGGCACGCAATTAGTTTCTCTCCAACGCCAGGGACAGCCTTCGCTAGAGCAGCACATCCACACTGCACTTGCTCGGCCCGATACACTTGACTTCCCGCTCTCGACGTAAGGCCTGAGCGTATCCATCGTGCTTGATATTCAAAGTATATATCAGCATTTCCGTTCCGTTCAGTCATTATGGAAGAATGCTCGATCTTACTTTCAATCGGTACGTCCTTATCGACCCTATGCTGGTAATACGAATCCGATCCACTCCGTCTGGAGCGTTTTCAACGAGTTTCCCAGCCGCGCCCTGATGTAGTCAGGTTTGCTGTTCGGTTTGTACCGATTCTTCGCGTCAGGCGTGTGAGGTCGAGTGACCGAAACTTCGTCACGAGAAAAATTCTCTGACGCTCGATCCGTTTCAGCGAACACTTTCCGATGGGTTACACGTTCGTTCTGTACGCATCAGAGGTACCTCAGAAGGTAATGCACGGTCTGCAGCATGGCTGATGGTACGAAGGACCTCCTCGTCGTTGCTCGCTTCTCCGTGGAAAGCGGCCATTGCTACACAAGATATAAGTGCTGTTCGTCACTATGACATGACAGCGTCTCAATGAGCTGGTTCAAGGCCTTGTCGACCGGTGCAGTGGGGAGTCCTGACAAAAGAGCGAAAAGGGTGTCCGCCGGAACATGCTCGTATGGGTTGTAATCGTCGCGTTTCCGATCCAGCTCGTTCATGTACCCTGCAGCCCCCGACATCCATGCAACTTTGCAGCACGTAGCATGTAATTTCAAGAGCCGGGAATCAGGCAAGTCAAATCTCTCATCAATTGTCTTGAATTGAACTTCGCGAGGGAAACCATAGCCAATGAACACCATGTTCGGGTTGTTGGTTCGATGACGAGTATCCTGATTGTATATACATCATAAATTGCATAAATAAAGCAGTAAAGTGCAGACACTCACCGTTTCCTCGAACCATAACCGTAGAGTGTCAAACATGTAGTGAGCATCGTAATTCAGGATGACGATATTCTTCAATGAATGAATCTCTTCTCCTTCAAGTTCCGCGCGGAGCTCCGGGTATCCGAATCTTTCGATGATAGTCCACACGTCCGCTGCATATTCAACCTGCAGAACAGAGAGAGTCAGGAAGTTGAACGGGTGATGCTGACGAGATCGAATACACCGTCGACTTGTCGTCAATATCACAATTTGTAGACTCTGGGAAAATATGGCAGCATTCTGTGATGCAGAGAGGCTGCTTTGCGGCCAAGAGCTTGGCTTGAAATTCATCGCTGCTCTGTTCGAAGATAGTCGAATCGAACTTACGAGTAACTATGCATCGATCATCGTCGCGAAGCAAAGCCTGTGATTATTATGTGAGGCCTTTCAATAAGAGTAAAAAGTGAGAGTCATCCGCACTGCAGTCTTAGCCCCTCTGTGATCCAGCTTATTTGGGTTTAGCAATGGCAAAATCTCTTCTTTCTTTCTGTCATACGACGGCCTGGAGGAATGATTCGATGGATTGGGTGTGGGGCCTCTGTTCCTGCGGACTGCATAGTTGTGAGGGGGAAAGAATAAGCCAACGGAGGTAAGTTGAAGGTTACGTACAGAGACGTATGAAAAAACCTTGTAGTGTTTGTCTCCCACGGCAGCCAAAACCTGCGCACCAATTTTGAGTTTACCAGGCTTCGACGGGGCGGACAGTATTTCACGCGCAAGATTGTATTGAGCGGTGCATGTAGGGGCTTCCGCCAGAAGATGGCCAAAGAGGCGTACGAGTTCTAGAGAGGTTCGGTCACTAGTTGGCAATTCTGCCGTGACCTTCCGTGCGAGTTCATCCTGGACCTCGAAGAAAACTGTGTAGATGCTGACTATGTGAGGATCATGACAATTAAACTTCTTAGCGTCAAGCTTCGTTGGTTTTCTTGTGCCAGACATAGTTGTGGATGGGGGAGAAGAAGCGCGTGCTGCTCCGCCACAACTACGGGATGTTGGCACGCCCGGTTTATTGTATCCTCACTAATTCGTAAAGCCCCGCCCTGGCTATTCATACACTTATACGTATTCGCAACTCCAGCGACAGAGAAGCACGAGTGTAGCCTTCGGGAGAGGAAATTATGACTATGTCTTCCTAGATATGCAAGCAAAGCTGCCACACAGACTGTGCGCACGACGCGCTAATAGGTACGACGCGTCGCGCCGCGATCACCTGAACCCAGGAGTCCAGGACCCTGGAAACCGCTACATAATGCCCAAATATGGATGCTGTTCAACATTCGTACAGTTCGCCTTACTCGCTGGTTGCTCATTAATCATTCTCCCGCTCCTCTGCAGCGACACCGACATGAGACCCGTCATTTCATACGACGACATCACGGCGCCTCAGCCGCCTCCCCCACCACAGCTAGGTCCTCAATTTCCCTCTGTGAATCCTCCACCAGCTAAAAAGCGCAAGACGAACCAAAGACCTGCGAACGGGCGGCCGCCACAGCAGTTTCAGCATTGGGATGACCCTGGAAGCAGTGCGCCGCAGATGAGCTATGACGATACGGGTAGTGGTGAGCACGCGCAAGGGGGTGAGGACGACGCGGTAGAGGAGGGCGAAGTGGAAGAGGAGAGTAGGGAGCTCACATATGAGGAGATATGGGACGATTCTGCGCTGGTGGACGCATGGGATTCTGCGATGGCTGAATATAAGGTGTGTAAAACGATATTTGAAACGGTCTACAGCGATTCTGACGGCTGGTCTATGAGGCGTTCCACGGGCCGGGAAGTAAATGGAAGGAGGAACCGGTGAAAAAATCTCCTCTGTGCGTACGACTGCTTGTTCATTCTGTGAAATCTCATGTCATTAATTGGATCCAGATGGTACAATGTTCCACCCAAAGATACGGGTAAGAAAGCAGCCAAAGCCACTGTAGTGCCGTCGACTTCCAATGGTACTGCAGTCAACGGCCAACACGAATCCATTCCTCAGGGCGACCAGGAGATCGACTCTGCACCATTGAATTTCGACACCTACGTGCCTTCACATGACCCTTCGCTCGCCTCTGCCATTCCCTCACGTCTACCTGCCGCTCCAGTTCCTGACTATTCATCATATTACGTTCCTCTGGCGCCGGGCCAGATGGTGAGCCAGGACGAGGCATTCTCGCGAGCCTTATCGGCGATGTACTGGGGCGGCTATTGGTCCGCCGTGTACCATGTAGGTGCTTTCCCTTCACGCGCACCCTCATATAGCGTTCTCTGACCATGGCGTAGTGTCAGAGGCAGTCCAATGCAAGCTCGACAGGTAATGACGCTGATGGCGAAGAAGGAGGCGAAGGCGAAATACAAGGCGAAGATGATGTAAGAGGGGAACAAGAGGTCGAGGACATGCTTCCTGCCCAACGCTGAGGCGTTGTCATTGTTGGTATCCGCATACACCGTATTTTTGGTGCAGAGTGTGCATCTATGTCCTTGCTTGCTCAGACATATTGTTTCATGAGTTAGACGTTGGCCACTCGCCGAGGGGTTACTCAGGACAGCAGCAGTTGGACAAATTTATCACCAAACAGGCCAATACATGCATGCGCCATTGACATCTAAGGTGGTTGGGTTCTTATTGATAATGTGCCCGCATCTTGACATCATGGTGTTAGAAAGTTTAGAGCGGCCCCCGTCATGGAATAACCATGCCCTGGAGCCAACTACAGCAAGCAAGTCCAAAAAGCATCCGTCAATGTACAAAGGACAGAAGATGAGACATAATGTGTGAAGTAAAACAAAACAGAACTGGAACCCCCTATTGCTGTATGAACTGTGGCATCGATGCATTAGCCTAGTCTGCACAAGACGGTATAGCAGCGCGACAAACCTCAGCAGCCTCAGATTCAGAAATATCCGACTTGCCGCCCAGTTTGCCTGCTTCGGTGTTGCTAATCAGGCTGATGTCTCTACCCAGTCCTTGCACGCTGGTCCAAAACTCTTCATTACCCGGCTTATCATCCCGACATGATTGCTGCAAGTCCTTCAGAAAGCTGCAATCCAGATCAACAATGAACGTTTTCCCCAGTCGGCCAAAGCAACTCACGCATTCCATGCATCAATCTCGTCCTCCTCAAGTGCTACTCGCCTCAGCTCTCGCATGCAGCTGAGGAGTTCGCCCGTTCTCCTTGAGGCAAAGGGTTTCAGCACAATCTCTTTGATAACGGCCCCGAGGTCCTCCACGGCCTTCGTGACGACGTCGCCTCTTGCAATGTTCTTCTTGAAGTCCTGCAATGGATGCGTTGTTCCTATAATTCTGTTGGGGGCCATGCCCGAGTCAGGCTCAAAGTCAGACTCAGGTGAGGGAGTGGGCAGTGTTTCATGCCGCTTCTTCTCAAGCAGGAGGTCTTCCGCCTCTTCTTCTGACTCGCTTTCGGTCTCACTGTCACTTAATGCTTGTTTCTTGGGCGTTTGTGCCAGATGCTGAGATTGAGAATTCCGCTGACTGAGGGATGCCACTTGTGATGCAGCCTGAGATTGTGATCGACGAGCTGCCATCTTGTCCAGCAGAAGCATGTCCTCGTCTTCTTCTTTTGCGCGAACATGCCCATCCTTCCTGGTTCTCGTGATCTTCCTAGGCACTACGAAGTACGTGAAATTCAGGACGCGGAAGTAATTAGGATTCATTTGTTCTGCTCACCTTCGTTAACCTGAAAGATATCCTTACATTCCTCGATGGCATCCCGGGCCCGTTTCAGGACCCGCTTTGGCGGCTCGAAATATTTAGTAAGCTCCGGATGGGGCGGTGGAAGAGGATGAGTACTGAGGTCTGATACAATCGCAGCATGGAATTGAGCCTGCTTAGTACGATGAATGGCTGGATTGTATGAGAGCGTGGTATCAAACCACGATTGACGTTTCCTGCAGAGGCGAGGAAATTCAGGAAGGCATAACGGCAAATAACCATAGTTCAGTTACCCATTCTCGTCCTTCTCTCCTGCATCCATCAAGTCCATGGCGTCTACAAATCGTTCCATGGCTTCTAGCTGCTTGTCGGTTGGTAGGTACGGATGCTTGGTGACCACTTCGCCTTTCTTAGAAATGAGCGTGTCTAGGGACGGAAATGGATAATCTCGGACGTCATCCGCGAAAGGCATCTATATATGCGAACGGATGAAAAGATGAACTGGCTTGTCTTCAGAGAGAACCCACCTGGACCCACAAGAGACAGTCGACGTTCTCGAACATAACTGGAGACAGTACACCCATCTTCGGATCCGTTCCGTCGCTCCTCACCATCCGAGCAATCGCCATGCACTCCTTTTCGTACATAGCTTGCACAATTGCACTCAACGCCACCTGTTGCTTCGGCTGCTTCTGGTCAGCCCAGATGTAGGATACTTCGGACATAGGAAGTTCCCGCCGGAAGTTCTCCTCTTTGAAGAACCCGCATATCTCTATGCCCTTCCTTGTCTGCAGTCGAGGAAATTGGCCATCGGGACATGGCGCATACGTTGCACCGTATTTGAAACCGCGAACCAGCTGCTCCTTCTCCACCTTTTCGAGGTTTTCTTTCTTGTCCATGTCCTCGTCTGCTTTATCGCCGTCCACACTACCATCCTCGGTCCCCATTTCGCCGCGGTCAATAAAGTACTCAGTTCGCATGCGTAGCTGCGCGAAGGTCGTTTTCCCTTCGAGCTCTGTCGACTGTCCTTCATCGCCTGCAGTTCTCTCACGGCGGGCGAACTTCTTCCAGGCCTTTGGACGGGCGATTGCGGTGCATTTGCTTGTTTTTACAAGGACCTCTATCGCTTCATCCGAGCGAGTGTCGCAATCACCAATGCGCAACACCGTACCCATCAGAGCCGACTTGGTCTGCTTGACGTCGGGGCGGGCTACCTCACGTAGGGCGTATTCACAGTTGCCGAGCACACCATTGTGAAGTTCCTCGATCATTTTGTGATAAAACTCTTCGTTTGCAAGCTGAGAATGAGTCAGTCTGAATCATAATTTTGACAGGCTCGAAGAAAGTACCTTGATCTCGCTCTTACCCTCCTCATGGAACGGCATCTCATCATCGTCAAAGTCAACACCTCTGTGATATGATGAGCCAAAGACACGTTGGAGTGGAAATGAAATGCGCACACTATTGTCAAGCTAACTTCGAGATCGTTCATCTTCTTCACAGTCGCTTCCCAGTCTTCAATCTCTATTGGGTTTTCGCCATCCGTTATCAGAACAATTTTACGCGTCCAAGTCTTTCTTGTCACAAGATATTGATGTTGTGTCTCGATACCGACGATCAGAGCATCGACAGCTGGAGAGACCCAGTCAAAGCGTCGACAAATAAGTAACATTACGGTGAGACGATAGCCAGAAGTTCAGCATCATTGATAATCTTGTAGAGCCGCACTTACGATCTCCTGACACAGTTGATGCTCGCAAGGCATCTAGCCTCGCAAGTGTCCCGGCGTTTGGTTGTGCTATTGGAATGTATTCCATGACGTGATCATAGCCGCTATTCTTCTCATTTATTACATTATGCGTGCCTAACACAGCAGCTCAGTCACATTGTCGGAGATTCCCCGCCATGACCTACCCTCTGTACCAAACAAGATGACGCCGCATTGTTCGGTCTTCCTTCCGTTGTATATCTGTCGTGGCGAGTGAGCACAGTCCAGATGCAGACACTCGATTTACTTGCCATCTCCTGTATCTTGTATTTCACGAACTGTAGCGAATACTCCAGGTTTGTCATCTCTATCACTTCGGATTCTCCAGTTTTCATCGCTGGAAGCACAACTTCTCTCGTGTTGCCCATGGAAGGTGAGATGTCTATCAAGAACATCGTCGCCGTATACTACATATCTCGTGAAATATCCTGATTCTGCTGAAAAAGACGACTTACTCCCCCTCTTTCCGCCGCCGCCATGTTGATGGGTTGAAAGTTAGCGAAAGTTGTGCTCCAGGTGTTCGCGCGACGCGTTGAGTCACGTGCATGATCTGGCCGGAGCCCAAATATGGTAAGGGCAGTGTGGCTGTGGCTTTGTCAGGTTTTCCCCCTTTGTACTTAACGTTACTCACGAGATCAGCGCGACTTGCACCGATTTCGACGCGACGCGTAGCGACGTCCAGCAATGGCCGCGCCCAATATTCCCAACCCGCAGCTCAACCTCTCCCAGCCGTTTTCGAATGGCACCAGGCCGCACATGTTCCCCCAAGCATCTCGGGAACGTATCCAGATGATGATCCGGGTAAGTTATCCAGATATACAGCTCTATTTCGCCATCCTGACCCCATTTAGCGTGCGCAACAACTCGCGCAGGAAGGACACTCTGCAGAAACATCTCCCGAGTATGCCAAAATCTGTCAGGTACTTTCTCAGCTTCAGGCAGGGCAATCAAGTGCGTGTCCGTCATTGTCCACCCTAGGAGACGTTAACAACCACATTGCAGATGCCCCCGATCAGCGACCACTGCTCAACGGCCACACTCCAACAGCCAACGGGACGATAAACGGGAACGCGCTTATGTCGGGACCCGTCCCGGCACACCCACACCCCTCTGCGCCGCACACGCCCGTCTCGTTCACATCCGAGCAAATCGTGGCTCTTCGGGCGCAGATCAAAGCATTCAAGCTTCTCTCACACAACCAGCCGGTCCCGGACTCGATCCAGGAAACGATGCGTGTGCCCCATCAGAGCATGTCTGACATGGAGAAGCTGCTCCAGGGCGCAGACGTAAACGCGCGTGTAGTCGATGGTGCGGTCAAGATGTACAAGGGTGCGGGCGGTAGCGTCGCGGGTGTGCCCGAGCAGGTACCGGTCGCGGGTGCCACAGCAGGAGCAGCGGTGGTGGTAGGAGGAGTGGCAGAAATACTGGACGGCATCAAGGCGGAGGACGTGGATATGAACGCGGCGGACCTGCCGAAAGGTCCGTTCATCGAGGACGACGTCAACTCGGGCATCTACCCGTACAACGCATACCTGCATCCGCTCGAGCATCTGAAACTAGACAGTGCGAAGACGGCCGGGATGCTCGCCTCGCGGCTGCAGCGGCTGCTCGTCCCGACGCTTATGCCGGCCGGGCTCGATCCGCAACAGGTGATTGCGGAGCGCAATAGATATGTGGATGCACGGATTGAGCAGCGGATCCGCGAGCTCGAGCAGCTGCCGGCGACGATGGGCGATGGCGGGCTGGAGAATCCGCTGGACGAAGCGATGAAGGAGGACAAGGAGAACGCGGACGAGTCCGCGGTGGCGCACGCGCCCATGCACCCGAGCCCACACGCGCAGGGGAAGTTGCGCGCATTGATCGAACTCAAAGCGCTTCGGGTGCTCGACAAGCAGCGGCAGATGCGTGCTCTCGTGGCGGAGCGGCTCACGCATGGATCGTTGCTGCCGCTGAACCGGGCAGACTTCCGGCGAATTCGCAAGCCTACGTTCAAGGATGCGCGGTCGACAGAGGCGGCGGAGCGCAAGCAGCGCGTGGACCGTGAGCGGCGGGCGAAACAGAAACACGTCGAGCATCTTGGCGTCATCTGCCAGCATGGCCGCGATGTCATTGCCGCCAATAGGGCCGTGCAGGACCGCATTGCGCGACTTGGCAAGGCCGTGCTATCGTTCCACGCGCACACTGAGAAGGAAGAGCAGAAACGTATTGAGCGTATCTCCAAGGAGCGTCTCAAGGCACTGAAGGCTGATGATGAAGAGGCGTACATGAAGCTCATCGACACGGCCAAGGATACCCGTATTACCCACCTGCTCAGGCAGACGGATGCTTATCTCGACTCGCTCGCGCAGGCCGTGATGGAGCAACAGCGGGGCGATTCAATCATTGATGTGCCCCAGCAATACGATGACGAGGGCCCCACGAACGAGGCGACGTTTGGTGCTCAGAAGTTTGAAGATGACACAGAAGACAAGGGGAAATTGGATTACTATGCTGTAGCCCATCGGCTCAAAGAAAAGGTCACGAAGCAGCCGAGCTTGCTTGTGGGCGGCACTCTTAAGGAGTATCAGATCAAAGGCTTGCAATGGATGGTCAGCTTGTATAACAACAAGCTCAATGGTATTTTGGCAGACGAGATGGTAGGTGTTGGCAGCATTTGATAATATATAGTGCGCTGATGTCTGCGACAGGGTCTTGGCAAGACCATCCAGACGATCTCGCTAATCGCCTTCTTGATGGAGACGAAGAAGCAGCGAGGCCCGTATCTTGTCGTCGTCCCGCTGTCGACAATGACCAATTGGTCTGGCGAATTTGCGAAGTGGGCACCGGCTGTCAGGGTGATTGCATACAAGGGTAATCCCCAGCAGCGTAAGATCCTCCAGAGCGAGATCCGTTCTGGCAACTTCCAGGTTCTGCTCACGACGTATGAGTACATTATCAAGGATCGGGCGCATCTCGCTCGCCCTAGATGGGTACATATGATCATCGGTAAGTAGCTAATGCAACTGTTCCTATGATCAGCCGTTGACGGTGCTGCAGATGAGGGTCACCGAATGAAGAACACTCAGAGCAAGCTTTCGCAGACGCTCACGCAGTTCTACCACTCACGATACCGGCTCATTCTCACTGGAACGCCACTGCAGAACAATCTGCCCGAGTTGTGGGCGCTCCTGAACTTCGTCCTCCCCAAGATCTTCAACTCGGTCAAGTCTTTCGACGAGTGGTTCAACACGCCGTTCGCGAATTCTGGTACAGGCGACAAGATCGAGTTGAACGAAGAAGAAGCGCTGCTTATTATCCGTCGTCTGCACAAGGTGCTTCGTCCGTTCTTATTGCGCCGTCTGAAGAAAGACGTCGAGTCGGAACTGCCGGATAAAGTTGAGAAGGTCATCAAGGTCCGTATGAGTGCTCTGCAATCGCAGCTGTACAAGCAGATGAAGAAGTACAAGATGATCGCCGACGGGAAGGATTCCAAGGGGTGAGTGTTTTGATTGTCTTAGTCGGTTGCATTGCCTGATGGTCTGTCATTCGTTCAGCAAATCAGGTGGTGTGAAAGGTCTGAGTAATGAGCTCATGCAGCTGCGCAAGATTTGCCAGCACCCATTCTTGTTCGAGAGTGTCGAGGACAAGGTCAACCCTCAGGGTATCATCGATGACAAGATCATCAGGACGTCCGGCAAGATTGAGCTCTTGTCCCGAATCCTGCCCAAGTTCTTTGCTACAAATCACAGAGTAAGTCGGGAGCGCTCATCAATATTGGCAATGGCCTAACATGATGGCATTACAGGTCCTCATCTTCTTCCAGATGACGAAAGTCATGGATATCATGGAGGATTTCCTCAAGATGATGGGATGGAAGTACCTCCGATTAGACGGTGGAACGAAAACTGAAGACCGTGCAGGTCACGTAGCAGAGTTCAACGCACCCAATTCGGAAGTCAAGGTCTTCATTCTGTCAACGAGGGCTGGTGGTCTCGGTCTCAATCTTCAGACTGCGGATACGGTCGTCATGTACGTGGCTTTTATTACGGCACCTGTGCAAACCTGGCTAATATCGGCATTTCTTCTGTGTGTAGTTTTGATAGTGACTGGTAAGCACGCGATATGCACCGTTCTACTGTTCAGGACCCTGAATAAGTCCAATCTAGGAATCCACACGCCGATCTTCAGGCTCAGGATCGTGCCCATCGTATCGGTCAGACCAAAGTTGTCCGGATCTTACGATTTATCACGGAGAAGAGTGTGGAGGAAGCAATGTTCGCAAGAGCCCGTTACAAACTCGATATCGACGACAAGGTCATCCAGGCTGGTCGATTCGACAATAAGTCTACCCAGGAGGAGCAAGAAGAGTTTTTGGTATGTGACATCTACATGCCCTTTTGTTGTGTTCCGATGCTGATGAAGTACCCGCTGCAGCGTTCCATCCTCGAAGCCGACCAGGAGGAAGAGAACGAGGAAGCAGGCGACATGAATGATGAGGAGATTAACGAGATCATTTCTCGTAGCGAGGACGAAGAAAGGATTTTCCGTGACATCGACATTAAGCGAGAGCGTGACGCTCAAGAGGCCTGGAAGGCTGCAGGTCATCGCGGCAAGCCACCGCTACCGTTGATGCAGTTGGAAGAGCTGCCCGAGTGTTATCGCGCGGACGAGCCCTTCGACAATAGGGACGAACTCGAGGAGATGGAGGGTCGCGGCCACCGTCGGAGAGCTATTGTCAATTACACGGACGGTCTCAGTGACGACCAGTGGGCATTGGTAAGTGTGTTTGCGACAGTCTGCGGAGAACTGTCCTCATACTTTGACAGGCGCTGGAGGAAGGCGAGGACCTCCAAGAGTTGTCGGAGCGGACGCGAGAGAAGAAGGAGAGACGGGCAGTGAACAAGATCATGAAGGAGCTTGATTCAGCTGGCTCTCCATCTGCCGACTACGAGACCCCGCGCGGACGCAAGGCCCGGAAGGGTAAGGGACGAGCGAGTGAGGACACTCCTTCCAATGGCAAGCGGAAACGTGCCAAGGCGATGTCCGTTACTCCGTCAATACAGGGCGACGAGGAGGAAGAAAGGGACACCGTGAGTGCATCTTCTCCGTCGTGGAGGGAAGTGGGGATACTAACGGTGTTACTTCAGAAACGTCGGAAGACAAAAGCGGCTGAAGTCCCTCCTCCAATGCGCGAGAAGATGAAAAAGGCGTTTAACGAGATCTACCGCGCCGTTCTCGCATGCGAAGTGGATGGCCGTAAACGTTGCGAGTTATTCAGAGAGGTGCCTGATAGGAGGGTAAGTGCAGCTTGGTTGATGAAGATTTACCCGACGCTAACGTCATATCGCAGGAGTATCCGGACTACTACCAACTTATCAAACAGCCCATTGCTTTGTCGACACTACGCAAACGTCTCCAGGGTACATATTATAGGAACGTCCTGGACTTCCGGGACGACTGGAGACTCATGTTCAACAACGCGCGGACCTACAATCAGGAAGGCTCCTGGGTGTACGTCGATGCCGAGGAGATGGAGAAAGTATTCGACGCGCAGTACGAGAGGCTCATTGTCGGTTCGGATCTCCCTGGGGCTCCCCCAGCACCTATTAGCTCGTCTGGCATATACGACCCCTTGACTCCTGTAGATGACGACGAGCGTGTGCCGACAAAGAGCAAGGGCGGGCGGAAGCAGATCCTCAGCGACGACGAATATTTGACCAATCCTAGTGATGATGAGTAGAGGGCGAACCTTGGATGTACATTTTTATTCATTTTCTTGTGCACTGTACTGTATTGTATCCTGGTTCCATATATTTCTGAGGGGATAGCGGAAGGCTGTGATGGTGGCACAAGGGAGGCTTGGAATGTATTCTTGCTCTCAACGCGGGCAGCTTTGCAATCATGGTCATGCGGCCAAGACGTTCATATGTTCGCGTGCGTGCATTACTATTTGCCTACACCAGACACCCTCCAGTCCTGATACTTTGCGAACGGGACAGGTTCCGCGATGAATATACCCATTTGAACTCTTTGCAGACCTCCAAGCGAAATTCGGATAACTGAAATTCGAGGATCGTTCATGTTGATGATCAACTTGTTGACCGTGACGCTTGGAAGTCTCGGATTGTATGGAGAGGACCGTTTTCTTTACGTTCTCTTCCAGTTATAGCACATTTGCGAGCGCCTGTATTAAGCCAGGAAGACCTTTCATTTGGTATATCAGTGAAGAGTCTATCTCAATGGACACTATCATATGGTGCTATGGGAATTGCACGCCACAGACGCGGCACGCTTGTGGCGCGGGTTAAATCCTGTCCAAATCCAACTGCCGTCGGTTCCGCTAAGTAGCGTTCTGGCTATGATGCATGGCGGACGACCTGCCCCTCATATGCTGCTACCCTGTATACGAGCTATCCTCCTGTAAGTACTGTCTATTTTAGGAGATTTACCCACTTCCTCCGTCGTCAGTGACCTCAACGGCACGGCCTAACGACAAATAGCATGCCTCGCCGACGCACCTCTACAACGCTGGTACCTTCGTGCATTCAACAGCGAACGCTTCAAACTCGATGTTCTCAGGGTTATGAGCGAGCTCAAAGAAACGAATCTGGTCCGTCGTGCTTCGGCTTTCATTCGAGGAGTCGAACTTGTGAAACCACACTTACGCCTTGCTGCGCTGCTGCGAGAGTCTAGAAGATGTAACGGAACAAGGTACATGCCGTTCGTTCTCCTGATTCAACTCGACTGACCGTCATTGGCACTTACTGAAGCGAGCCTTCCAGAGTCCCGAATGCACCGCCTCTGAAGTGTCCATACCTGCATTGTGGAATAGTGATGCAGCTGCATCCGTTTCGCTCAGCTCCGCATCACATAAGCTCGTAGGTGTGCTCGGACTTGTTTAATGCGGACGTGATTCGAAGTTCTGAAGAGACGGTCATCGATGCGTCGTCAAAAGTGATGGAGACCAACTCGACAAGCATGCAAACAGCGAACAGGGCGTGGTCAGGCTGGAAGCCCCACATATACTCCGGAGAGCTGTTTTCGTTGAGACGGAGGATCATCGAGCATCAGGTAGATGCATTCATTCCCTTTTTGACTCTTAACCACCACCATCGCCACGGGCGGCTAAAGCTGTTAGGGGAATCCAGCCCCCGCCTGTACCCACTCACGACCATGGAGGACCTGAAAGCCCCTCCAACGACATTACATGCCCACTGAGATCTTCCGTGATAAGGCTGAGCACACCGGTTGCCTTGTAAGCCCCCCTCTCACACTTTTCGGCGCCAAATTATGCACG